TGACTTGACCAATAAAGAAAATTGTGACAAACACGAATAAGAAGTGTGTGAGAGAAAGAGAGTAAAAATAAATGTGCCCATAGAGATCCATATCAAATAGACATTAATACAGACCCGGTGTAAATGTAGCGTCAAACAATTAACAATAAAAATGTTTCTTTCCACTTTTCCATTCTTTTTTTTTAACATTCACTCATTCAGACTCTGAATGAATTCCGGATCATCGTCATGGATTCGAAAATAACAAAAATTTTTTTTGCCTGATTTCATTTTAATCGATCTTGATGTGATATATATGGTGTGTGTATTGAGAAACTGATGACCATAATGTATTTGAAGAAAGCCATATGATTTTTTTTCAAATGATCATCATTAATACGATTTCAATGGCCATGATTTTTTTCCAAAAAAAAAGTTTATATACCCAAATGGATCATCATCAATTTTATATGTGTTTGTGTATTTGATTCACTTGAATCATCATCATCTTCATCGTCATTGTAGATAAATTAAAATTTTAAATTAATTTTCAACGTTCTTTTTTCTCCCTTCAGTTTTGTTTCGCATTGATTTCCCGATATATGTGTTACCGAAATCAATGGTGTAACGAATAACGGCTTTTGATAACTGAAAATAAAGTTGAACACAATGACCATTATTTTGTTTTTGAAAACCAAACTAAATTGTTGTTATTTTTTTTCTTGTTTTGATGCGTTTATATAATATTCGGTTATGATCACAATCAAAATATATAGAGTGTTTTGTTGTTGTTGTCTGAACGAATGAAGTGAGAGAAAGAATAAATTCAGTAAAATTCAATTAAAAAAGTTTTGAAATTGTTTTTGAAAATTTATTCTCTATTTTCAATATAATTTGTAGAGGTGCGTAGTGGTCATTTGGTGTACGTTTTTTACTTTTTCCTTTTTTATATTTTGCTCTGTTGATTCATTTCGAAAAAAAACATTCATTTTGTATGAAACGCACCAGGGATAAAAAAAATCTTTCTGGATTTGATCAATTTTTTCCACAATGTGTTATTGAATCTTTTTACAATCAATCAAATATTTGTTTGTATCATTTTATTCACTATATATTTCATAAGGTGGATAAGTGAGAATTTTTTCATGAATCGTTCCTAAGAATGATTAGATATACGCCATCCATTGACCAGTGGACAAATCATTTTAAAATCCTCATACATATTACATTAAAATTATCTAATCACAGTGTTTTTGTCATTACTACACTATTTATTATCATTATCATTTGACATTTGATCATCATCATCATTAGTTTATTTTCAATTCAACAATATTTTGTTTTTTTTTCATTCAAATTTAAACATAATTTATCACAAGTTTTATGCAAAATTCTGTTCCCCTATCCTTTTTTTTGGAATGGATGCTTTAAAAAAATGAGAATTTTAATTTAAATAAATGCCTTTTTCCATTAATATACGAAGGCGGGTAAAAAGATACCATCTTTTTTTTCCAACATACTTTATGTATAAGTGGTGAAAGAATGTTTTACCCATTCTTTATTCCTGAGATTTATTTATTATTATGAAAATTGGGGTGTACAAATTCATTGAAGCCTACATTATTTTTTTTCTCTATCATAATATAAATGAATTCTAACAATGATAATAAAGAAAACGGGTTGAACATTAAATTCTATACCATTTTAAATATGCGAATCTCCATAGGCTTTTTTTCCATACTAACAGAATTTTTTCATTTTAATTGGGCTGTACACAGTGTTTGGACTGAATGCATCATCATTGCATAATAGATAGTTAGATAGGGTTGGAATTACGTGCGCATACACATCATTCAACTACTAAAAATCTTTTACAAAATATTCTCTCACTTTTTTTCGCTATATTCATGAATAATGAGAATTTTTTTTTCTTTATTTTTGTTCGGGTACTGCCTACAACCCTTTACTTTATTATTATTTAGATTTTCTTTTTTTCATCTTGATGGTTGACTGAAATCACTGAATTTGAATGAAAATTATAATTAGATTTTGTTGAATTTTTTGCATTTTGCTTTTTATATTTTTTCTTTCGTTGATATTGCTGTTTATCATCATAATAAATCTGAATTTTTTTTCTGTTGTTGATCGATATGAATTCCTTGAATCTGATAAAGTTTTTTTTCATTTTTTTGCTATAAAATTCTTTAAAATGTGTCATTCTTGTTTGACATTATCATACATCATCATTGTTAGAACTTTTAAAATTCAATTTCAATCATATATTCAAAGAATACTGAGTTGAATTTTTATTTTTATTTTTTTCTGGAATAAAAATGCTATTTCAAAAAAAGATAGGATAGATGATATAAAAAAGTTTAATTTAAAATTTAATTTATTTTATATTAAGACATTTTTTTGCAAATATTTATTTGACATTATCATCACTGACAATACCGACTACAACAACAGTAAATATTTCAATGAAATTGATTTGTTTAAAATTCACACACACACAGAGAATGTTAAAATTTTTATTTTAAAAAATGTTTTATTTTTTTTCCTTTAAAACTCAAAATTTTGTTTCTCAAAATTCCATCATCATTCAAATTCTTTTTGAATATATTTCTTTAATGTCAGTGGTTATTGGTTTGAGAAGAAATGTTTAAAAAAACAAATTTGAAGAATCGATTCTTTTCTTTTACTTGCCTTCATTTAATGATTGAAATTTCCAAACCTAATTTTTAACTTTTTTTTATCAATTCCGAAGATAAATGTTTAGATTCGAATAATAATGATGGCTGTTGATGATGATGATGGTTAAAAGTAAAAAAATAGAATATAACTCTGCATAATAGTTCTGTTGAAAATAATTCCATCACATTTTGCATCATCTGCCTTATAGGCTTTTAGCTATTCAAGCATCATTTTCAGGCATCTCTTATGGAAGAAAAAAAATTTAATGTAAAAAAGTACGAACGATGTGGAGAATGATGAAGACAGAAGAAAAAAAAATCCAACCATTAAAAATCATCCCGAATTGATAATCAACTTGATGGGGAAGGAAAAATAAAAAATTTTTGAATATTAAATGACAATGCCAAAAAAAAAAATTTGAATGTAATTTTGTGCAGACCAACTTTTTTCTTTTTGCTATTCACTTATCCACCCACTTACTCTCATCACATCAACATCAAAACATCACTAACATTATTCAATAACAAAATATTCCATTAACTATCTTATCCTCATATATGTTAGTGAATGTAGATCTTCATCATTGTCGATAAAAGAATATTCTGTATTCTGGTAAAATGATGAAGAAAAAAGAATTAAATTCATTCATTATACATACTTATGATGCATAGAGCTGAATATTTCACATCATCATCATGATGAAATTGAGGGATGGAGAGGGATAAATGAATGAATCAGCTTGTCATTGTTGTAAAATAACATTTTTTTGGGATTTTTTCTTTTTGTTGTTGCAATTTTTTCGATTTTGATTTTAGTTTCTATTTCCATTTCCACCAAACAATAATTCCAAAATGTATAGCTAGTCATTTTCTACCATTTTGTTATGGAGCAAGCTATATTCTTATTTTTTTCATCGCTCTTTTCCCCCATTTAAGCAGCAGCCGGATCGATTGATTCATTCGATTAGATTAGATTCTGTTTTTTTTTCAAAAATTTATATATAGTAGCTTTTGGCGTATTCAATTTTTAAAAAAGCAAAATGTGTACTGTTGAAAAGCTTTTTAAATTAAAAATTTGAATTTTATTAAAATTTTTTTCCCGATGTTCATTCCGTTTATAATTCCGTTTTCCGAATATATGTGTGTGTTGTTATCGTAGAAATTGATGAAAAAAAAATGAGAAACAGGGGAGACGAATGAACGCCAAAGAAGAGAAATTAAAAAATCTAATATTTTTCAAGATTCTTTTGACTGGAAAAAGAATATTAAAAAATAAAATTCGATGACGATCGCAATGACAATTTTTTTTTTGGTTATTTTATTCTCTTTGTGCTCTGCATCTTCTATACAATGAATGAATTTATTTTCAACTTCTTCTTCCTATTCGAAATTGAAAGAAAATTCTTTTTAAATTACCATCAATGGCTGACAACGAATGAATGAATGAATGCCGTATGTATACACCACACATCAACACTCTTGTTGTTATCATCATTACACATAAGTGTTTGATGAAAAAATGAAGAGATTTTGATCAAACGAATTGATGAATTGAAATTTTTTTTGAACAAAAAATTTTCTCAATTGGTTTTATTTTCTGCAAATTCGGACACACTGAAAAAAAGAATGAAATTAAACAAAACAAAAAAATTTAATTGTCACATCATCACAGCGAACGAACGGAAGGATCAAGAGAGCATTTTTTTATCTAACACAAATAATAACATGTGTGATTGGGATAAGTGCGACTGAATCTTTTGTTGTTGATTCAGGTGGAAATTTTGTTTAATTTTTTCTTTCATAAAAATAATACATAAAGGAATTTCAAAATCAAAATGAGAAAAAAAATGATGTTCACACTAACGAAAACGAAAAGAATTCGTTAACACATCATAAATCAAATTCTTGATTGATTTCAACAAATTCCATTTTTAAAGGTAAATTGAAAAATATATATTGAATCATTGTTTGGAAACAAAACGAACAAAAAAAAAAATTCTACTCGATTTCACACTGCAATAATTATTTTGACACAATTTGTATCCAATGCAACAACAACACCAACAGCAACAATTTTATTGATATTTTACTTTTCTTTTGTTCGAAAATAAAAACTTTAATTGCCAATTTATTTTTTATTTTCTTAAAAATACAATTAAAAACCAATTTTGATTCTCCAGAATATGGATCCATTTTCAAATCAATTTTTTCTCATTGATTATACTACCTACCCTTAGATGGCGTAGCTATTTATTGAATTCAATTAAATTACATGCTCCATAATAGATTGTATATATACAATCAGCAGTGATGATGAAGATTCCAAATTGATTAATTTCTGTTTTCCATCATTTCGATAATCAGATGACCAATTATTGATAAATTTGGGAGTTTTTTCTTTTTCATTGTTGTTTGAATTATTTTTTTTCATATATTTTTAATTCTTTTCTAATCAATCTAATCGTTTGGTTTATCACGATCTCCTCGAAAATGCCTGGAAACAAAAATATCCGTTTTTCTATCTGTTCCATTATTATCAACATTATTATTATCATACAATTTATTGTTCATCAAGTTGAATCTAAAGAATTAACTACAAATGATTTTGATGAATGGGATAAAAATCAAAAATATCTATTCGTTTTATTCTATTCATCAGAGTATGTATATTCTATGTATTTATCTTTTATTATCAATTAAACCATTTTCTATTCGAATAGATCATCATGTAAACAATGTGTCCAAGTATTATCCGATTGGAAATCCTTTGAAAATCGTCTGGATAATGTACAATTTTTTGCTGAAGTCAATGTGGGTCGTGTTGATTGTAGCGTAAATCGTGATCTTTGTTCACGTGAAGATATCCAAGAGTTACCAATGGCAAAATTATATGTTGAAATTAATAAGATAACACGAATCGAAATGAATTATGAATCGAAAGAATACGATCGAAATTCATTGGATATGTTTCTAATGAAACAGATCACTCGATTTGGGTTTCAAGATTCACAAAAAGAACAAGAACCCGATGAATCGATCGATGAAACTGATGCAACGACATCAGGAGAAGAAAGAGGATTCACTATAATGCCATTGAAAGCAAAAAATGGCCTTTACGAATTAACAGATGATGATTCATCTTTGTTCCTAAGTCATGGACAACATTTTGTTAATTTTTATGCACCATGGTGTTCACATTGTCAGAATCTAAAACCAAAATGGGAGATGATTGCCAAATCATTAGAAAATAATGAACAGGTCAAAATATCACAGATAAATTGTCAGGAAAATATCTATACATGTAAAATGCAATTCAAGATTAAAGAATATCCAACATTATTATGGATATCAAATGGCAAAATTGTTGCACGTTATAAAGGTTCCCATGAATTAGATCACATTAAATCCTTTATTAATTCTCAATTGACCGATTTTGAATTGGAAAAATTATTGAAAAAATATTCTGATGTTGATTCCGGTATTGAAGAATTAGAAATTGATTATCGTAAAAAAAGTTCCAATGTCTTACTACTGAATTCAGACAATTTCAAAATGATTACCGATTCGGGTTGGACGTTTGTTCATTTTACTGTACCATGGAGTAAACACTGTCGTCAGATGAAATCTGAATGGGATAAATTCAGTATTACTGCGCCACCGAATTCATTAAAAGTGGCCAAAGTTGATTGTTCTATACAGGAAAAACTTTGTACAATGGAAAAAATCGATAGCTATCCAACATTGTTACTTTATAACGATGGACATAGATTTCCCGAATATGATAATACATTACGTACGGCCGATTCATTTCTACAATATTTCAATGTACAATCAAATAATAACCAACCGAAAAAAGAATTATAAGTAGAATTTTATATTTGTTCATATGTAACCATCCATATATATGTGATTTTTCCAATTTTCCTGTGACATTTTCGTTATTTATTGATTTTTACTACTGAAATAAAAACATACTCTAAGTTTTGACATTGTTTCACATTTATTTTATTTATATTCGTAAAAGATTTTTTTATTTTTAAAAATTGAAGAAATCAAAGCAAAGCAACAAAAACGAAAAGAATTTGTTGGAATAATTTTTTTGTTTCTTTTTCAAAGTAAATTATTATCGATTATCAATTGAATGTTTTTCGTTTTTTCGGTTAATTTAAATTTGAAAAGAATCTATATAAATCTTTTCATCTTTACTAGATGAATAAAGTTGAAAATAGAAAAAAGCGGGCTTGAGAATGTAAAAATGAAATAATGATGTTGAGCATGGATTCAGCAATCAACCAACCATCCATACATCCATAAACATGTACACCATAGAAACAATTTTGGAAAGATGATGATAAATCAAAACTTGATAGAAAAATGTCATATGTATAGCCACTGAATAAAGATGATTAGAATGTCAACTTTTTTGGTCAAAAATGTTTGGCGTTTTTTTTCAAAAAAGACCTTTCTTTTTCTTTTCCTTATTTTTGGATCCATCCAATTGTAGACTATGACAAAAGATTGAAAAAACAAACATTTATTTAAATTAGTTAAAAATTGCAATTATTAAAAAAAATTAGATTGGTCCCTTTTAGTGATGAATACATAATAATAATGGTGATGTTGACGACGAACCAAAGAAAAAATGAAATAAAATATTTGGCCTTTCTCATACTTGTTTTTGATGAAAGAAAAAAATATTGGCGAATCACATATCATAACAAAAGAACATGAGAAAAAATAACAAAAGCAGGCAGCAAACAAAAAATGCAAAATTATTCAAGTGAAATAATTAAAAAAATTGATGATTGATTAAATTAATATTGATTCTCATTGTTTACGTATGGTGGAAAAAATGAATGCTTTTTTCAGACCACCAAATTTCAGGGCATTCTTTGGTATATAGGCCAGCCTATCGGTTCGAATATCGATGCATGATTTCGAATTCCTGTTTCATTTTTTGTTTTGTTTTTGGTTTATTTGGTTGATTGGGGAAAATTGGTAATACCAGGAAAGATAATCGGTAGGAAATGAATTAAGGAAAAAAATTGAAATGGCAACAAAAAAAAAAGAAAATCTAATCAGTCAAAAGAAAAAAGAATGCAAAAAACAACATAACATAAAAATAGAGAATGGGCAGGCAAAAGGGTATTTGGTGTCGAATTATGGAACGAAATTCGGATTAAACACACATTCACAAACACAAATATTCAAATCGACTTCGAGAAAGACACAATGTGAAATAGATCAGTAGGAATTAAGGGACTATGTGAAAAAAGTAATTAACAATCAATACTTACTCTTTCATATTGAGATCCAGTGTATTCACACGGCGAATCTCTTCCATATCTTTCGATACTAATTCGAACGCTGCTTTCTCCTTTTCAAATGCAGCCCTTCTTTCATCCACTTCTTGTCGTTGTTGTTCTAATTTTTTAGCCATTTCCTCATGTCTTCTCATGTACTAATTTGATTTAATACAAACAATAATTAATAAAGATAAACTCCTAATCATCAAATATTATACGAAACCTCTTCTTCCGTTTCTTTGAGTTTATGGAGTTTTTCTTTGACTTTTTGTTCAAAAACTTGTTCCATTTCGATTTCCATACGTTTCATTTTTACATCATGTTCTTTTTTCTCTTCTTCCATTTGCGCTAATGGATTCCTGTATTATGAAATAAAACACGAATAATTCATTCATGAAATTTGAAAAGCAAACAATTTTAAAAAAGCAAAAGTTATGAAAGGAAAATACGAAAACAGGTGATAATGAAAAAGGGACAAATTAAAAAATTTCAATTTGGTAACAAGGTGTTGATAAGACTAAAGTCACTGACAACTGGTTCGGACAGAGCTTACCAGAACACCATTGTAGATTTTGAATTTTTGTTACTGCCATGATCGCAAACACTTTTTAGTGTTATATATCAATCAAGAATTTTATGAAAAGAAAGAATTCAATATAAAATAATGAAAAAGATAAAACAGAGAAAGAGAAGGAAATATGTGAAGCAAAGAAAGCAAAAAATAAATAAAATTGATAAAATCAGACATACTTGTTATCTTTGCCTTTGAGTGCCATTTCAGGTGAAATACCAGTCAATTTACGGCAGCGATAATTTTCATAATGAACATTATTGGTTGTTTCAATTAAATCTAACATATAATGTCGAATCAATAAATTACGTAATGCATGAAAATCGCAATGTTCCAAACTTTCGACTGTCAAAAAAAAGAATCAATCAACTCTAATTCCGATATCACATGCTCAAAAAACATACTTTCGACCAAACCCCATGGATATTTACGACCACGTTTACGCTCACCAGCCACTTCAAGAACATAGTTACTTCCGACCACTGCAAACGGAACACGACTTTTGAAAGATTTCAATAATTTACTTTCCTCTTCATCTTCTGGCTCAGGAAAGTCATAGATTTTTATCTTATTCACATTGATTTCATTCATTATCTATAGAGATAGAGAATAAAAATTAGTTAATAAAAAACAAGGTATATTTTTATTACATTTTTCTTGAATGCTGACAATTCTTCGGGTGTAAATGCATCAGCTTTCGCAATGACAGGTATAATATTGACTTTATCATGGAGATGTAGCATGAATTGAATATCAATCGGTTTCAATGAATGTCCCGATGGAGCAATAAAATATAAGCAACAATGAACTCTATTATCCTGAATGTGAGTTCGATGAACACGTGTTTCTGCATTCAGATATTCTTCATATCTTGATTCAATAAAATTAACTATCGGTTGCCAACAATTCGTATTATCCACAGCAGTTCCATATCCAGGTGTATCCACAATGCTGAGATAAAGATTAACGGATTTTTCTTTCAATGATACACGAGTTTGTTCCACTTCAACAGTTTTGGCAGCACGCTTCGATGGACCAGGATATTCCGGTGAATAGATATCGGTCAAAAACATTGAATTCACCAATGTTGATTTACCTAGACCAGACTCACCAACAACCATCAATGTGAATTCGAATCCTTTTTTGATTGTTTTTCGGTGTATCTGATTTGGAAGATGTGAAAATCCAACAAAATGTTCACCATCTTTAGTAAGACTTGATGACTTCAAGTCATCGGTGTTTCGGCTTGAGAATCCCATTGATTCCAGTCGATCACGAGTATAATCTTTAGTTCCGTTACTTATTGTCGAGGTTGGTGATGAAGAATCGCGAAAATAATATTCACGTTTTGAATTGAGCTATAAAAAAGAAAACATGAATTAATATCAAGAAATAATTTGAATATTTAATTCTGGATATTTTTTAATCTTTGTTTATTTTGTATAAAAAATAGCAGCAGTATTCGAAGACTTACGGCATCATTTTTACTCGGATTATTATTAATATTAATCTCATCATCATCGCATAAATCATGAATTTTTCCGCGAGATAAACTTGATGACGTATTCAATATCGATGTACCATAAACATTACCACGCTGCGCTAGACGTTCAACACCGGCAAAACGATAGCCACCTCCATACGAAGGTGTCGTTGCCATTTTTGTTGAAGAACCATCAAAATTATGTGTAATGATTGGTTGCTGATGATGATGATCATCATCATGTAGTTGTTGTGATTGTGATCGATACTCTCTTATCGGAACGTTTAAATAATTCGAATTTGACGTAGGTGTTGTTGCCTGTATCGTAGATACATTTCCGTTGTTCATAAATTGTTCACGAAGTGATGCATTACGAACACTTGACGACGATGATGCTGATGGTTGATAAATAGTAGAAAATGTAATCGGTGTGAATGACATTGGGTGATGATTAGTTGATGGAGAAGAGGTCAACGAAGGTTGTGGTGAATAAAGATTCGATGATGAACGATGATAATTTTGTGTGGAAAATATTGAATTTGGCCTAGTTGCTATTGAATCAATCATCGGTGAAGTTGGTACAGATTTTTGACCATTTTGAGATGTTGGCGTTACGGTAATGATTGTATTGGATGCAACCGATGTTCGAGATGCTTGCTGCTGTGCATCATTTTTTGATACAACTGGATAGGATATTGTAGTCGATGATTGAATACCTTTCCCTATGTTAGTATTGTTTTCCCAACCAACCATTAACGATTGAAAATTTGATGCTTGCTTAGCATTACCACCACTTGAACCAGTCGATAATTCTTTTGGCCGTGCAGGTTTTGATGGTGTCGAACGAAAAACATTCATCATGATTTTTCAAATTCAATGAAAAAACAACCAATCGAATTCTAAGTCGTATAAAATCTAAGGATTTTGAAATCCCTTTCGATGTTAGTCAGTTTACTTCACGATAAAAATGGATGAATAAATGAATCTAAACCAAGTTCTAAGCAAACATATATACAATTCCTTTTATTCTATCCATTGTACATAATCAACTTCAATCAATAAGACACACACACGAAAACTAACGGAAACTTATTGTGGGTGGTAATCCTCATATCAGAAATGTTTGAAACAATTATGATGATTCGGGTTGCGTGCTATTTTCGTTTATTCATTCATTTATCCCGAATGCCATATCAAAAAATGACAAACTCAATTAACTAACTGATGACAATATCATGGACAAAAAAAATATTCGTTGTTGTCGTTGTTAATTTTTAAATATTTTGAATAAATTTTTCCCTGTTTGATCAATAACGAAAATTCGGTCAATATCATTGAAAAGTTTTGAAACTCGTTTTTCCTTCACCAATTAACAACTTGTTGCCAAAATATAAAAAAATGTTATTGAAAGCTAATCAAATATTCATTGATCGGTTATTGGATGATTGATTGACAGAATTGTGTTTAAACATCAATTGAAATCGATTGTTTTGAAAAAAACATTAAAACCAAACAATCAGAAAATCAAACAAACAAGCAATTTCTATCTTGACCAAATATGGAAATCAATGAAATTCGTATAGAATTCGGATCGAATGGGTGGAAAAAGACTTTATATCTTTTATGTTTGACAGGTTTTTTTCTGTCATTCCATCCAAGAAGTAAAATCGTTCATGATGATCGCGTGCATTGTACGCCCAAAAATGAAAATGCAAAACAACAACCTTGATCCTGAACATAAAATAACCAATTTTTTCATCCAACAAAAAAAACGGAAGTATTGTATTACCCATAATAATAATGATGATGACAGTAATGAAATGTGTCAATACTATCAGTCAAATATTGCACAAAACTCAAATTAACTTTTAGCTGCTATTTTTTATAAAGAATATCTTGTCATATGATTATTTGCATAATTTAATACACACAGAGAGAGATCATTATCGATAAGACATTGAGAAAAAAATATTTTTAAATCTACTTACCGCTAAAATTTTTTTATTTGACCCAAAAATACAACGATGCGACGATTTTACATTGATTTATCCAATGATTGGGGTCAGGTTGATGATGATGATGATGAAAATGAAAAAAAGATTTGAATGAAATATTTAGTTTTTTCAAGTAAAAAGTCATCCAAGATATAGTTGAAGAAAAAAGAAGAGAAAAAACAAAATCAAGATAAGTTAAATATGCAAAAAGGGTTTTTATAAATAGTAAGTAAATAAATAAATTTGTCTGATTTGTTTGGAAATTTTGGGTAAAATCGACAAAATGAAATAAAACACAAAATCTCACATCGTGTCATAGCCGATGATGACTCTTTTAAAGTTTCATCAATTTTTTTTCTAAACATTTTTTTTAAATAAAAATCAGTTATATTATTTTGTTGATCATACGCTTTTTTGGTTGATTTTTTGACAGGTAAATCAAAATTAGCTGGTGTGAGTTTGATTGGCAGATCAAAAAAAAAGTCAACAAAGAAAAAATATTATTTCTTTATCTTAATAATACGATATAACTTTTGAATAGTGATCCAAATTATATGACATATTTTTTTTGTTTCAATGAAATTTTTTTCAAAAATTGTCGATTGAACAATAAATGTTGATAATAGCATTGAGATTGTTCTCGTTTTTTTTTGTAAATTTGTTTTGTTTCGTATTTCATATGTGAATTGAAATGTTTTGTGATGAAAATCACTATGTTGTTATTGTTGTAATCACTTTCATACACAAACTTTCTTACCAAAATATGATCACGGCTTTTTTCATTGCATGATTTTCACACACAATGAAATATGAGTATAAATTATTGAAAGGAAATATCAGAACGACAAAATTCTAATCGATGATTATTTATCAATATATACTAGATATGAAATGAATAATAATTTTCGTTATAACAGAAAAAATGGAAAGGAAATATATCGATTGAATAACATATAAACATTTCAAATGAAAAATCCATGTCCTGTTTTATTAATTTTAAATTCATGATAATCAATTCCACTGATTGATTGATTGATTGATTGAAAGATTTTCTATCTGCCATCTAGTTTTTACAAAAGTATTTCATTTAGGTCTTTACAATAATTGAATTCGCGAGGAAATCAATGAATTTATTTGAAACTCACCAGTATAACGTCGAGTCGATGCGGTATAGGCACCACTTGTATAATCAGTCGTAGCAGCGGCGGCGGCAGCTGTTGTTGTTATACCTAATAATGTATCCGGTATTGATATTGGTATCGATTGTGGTTGTATCGGAGCCATATTTTATGCATACAGCAAAAAAATCACGAGAAAAAAACCGAAAAGAAAAAAGAATAAATCAGCAATGCAAAAACAAATAATGCTTAAAACACAACAAGTGAACACAAAACGAACAAGCAAATATTTGAAAATTGAAAAAAAATTGACATCGAGAATCAACACATCAAACAGGTGATGTGAAATTTATTCACTTTTTCTCAAAACTGGACTGAACTTTTCAGTCATAATAATTTATTGCAAATAAAGAGAAAGAGACAGAGTAATTTTTTCAAATCAAAATCAAAATAGAAAAGAGAAAAAAATAATTTTTTGAGAAAGAGAGAGAATCCATTTTCAATCAGTAGCGCGACAAAATCTAATCCAATCATCATCATCATCATAGATGATGGTAGTCAATCATCGATACGATTTATCAAAACTAACCACACCTGTCTAATTTCAATATCTCATCATCATTTTTCGTTCTTCATATACAACAATTTCCATACATCATTATCACTAATCAAGTATTCAACTTTTGTTGCATATAAAAATAGTACAGAAAAAAGGCCAAAGAAACACTTTCGAACCTGAACTATAGTATCATCATCACTGTATATTGTCTGTTTGTTTGTTACTTCATTATCATTCTTGAATGATGATGTTCCAGAACAAATGACATCACCATTCATAATTCAAAATGACAAAAGATAAAGATAATAACATGAATAACAATAGAATGAAAAAGCGCGTTTCATTATTGATGTGATGAGAATAAACAAATAATGATCATCATCACTAAATTTGGTAAAATTTTTCATCTTGGCCCATCATTTAGTTGAATATAAAATACAGGATCCATGATTTTTTTTTAAAAAACGAAATTCGGTTATCATTGAGTAACATCACCGGAGAAAAACCGTAAAACACTAAACTATCACTACAAAACCTGAATTTGAATGAATTAAATCTTTAAAAAAAACGGTTAATACCAATAGCAAAAAATAAAATTAAAGCGAAACACACGATTTTAAAAATCTAATATTCATAGCTTACTTAAACCATTGATAGTGATCTTGCAATGGAATAAGTACAGATATAGTGTTTGTAAATGAAATGATGAAGATTTTCAAAACTAGATCAAAAGAAATATTGACATCACCGACCATTCGAATAAAGAAATTTGATTAGGATTTTGAGCGGAGAAAAGTGATTATTCATTCGGTCAAAATCATTTACCTGATTAAATGATCGACGAAATGATGGTAATAAAGTTGAGAAATCAGATAATAAAAATTCGGTTGGTTCGCAACCAGAAAAAAAAACATATTTTTTACTGTAATAATAACAAATAAACTTATGAACCAATTTTCAATTGGTGAGCAATTTAAAGTTCATAGACACCATTTGTGTATTCGCTATAGTAGGAATATATAAAAAGAGGTGGTGGTGGCTGTTGTTGGGAAAAGAATATTCCCTATGTGTTTCGAGAATTCTGAACAACAATAACAAAATTGATGCGGAATATGATGATGGACTATAGAGATGTTGAGTATGCGTTGTAAACGTCGCGATCCATCATCATGGCACATGCCATAACAAAGCCATACAAAAAAGACCGGAAAAATTCGTCATTGAATTGAAATCACAACAAAGAAAAAATTTTTTAAAATTGAAAAAAATTTCCACTTTTGTAAAAAAATTTGACAACAAAAACAAATCAGAAAAAACAACTACAATTGAATGCTATTACATGACATGAATGGCTGAATGAATGATCATCATTAATATCGAATAACGGAATAGGAAATGATTACTTACCATTCTTTTGCATCTTTTATTCTTTTTTTTTCAAATATCTTGCGCAAAAAGGATTTTAATCAAAATTTTATGTCTGTTGACAGCTGCTAAAGGTGATCGATGATGTTGAACACAATGATGATTGAAATTTACATTGATTTTCCGAGATGATGATTATGATCAATCGTCGTTATGGTCACTTGTTTTAGTTTGTTTTACTGATTGCTTGTTTGCCTGATTAGATAGGCAGTTCAATTTTTCATACACATAAAAATAAGGTTTTCAAATTAGACAAGCTTTTTGGAATGCTAATGAAAATAATGAAGAGGGCAAAAATTTGGATCAAACCAAAAATTATTTATTGTAAAAAATTATCTAAAAATGTTTCGTTCGAATTCATCTTTTTAATTTTATCATCATACACAAAGAAACAAATTGGTGGATCGAAAACAAACACAAACATCACACAATTTGGCCGTTCGATTTGAACATAATGGGGGAGGGAGTAAAAAGAGGAGGTTGTAAGATGATGGAATGGTCAGATGATGTGTGATGGAACAGTTCAAATAAACTTTCGGGTTTGCTTTTTCATCTTGACCTATGCTTCTATCACACACATTGTCAGTGTGTGATGAAACGCGGGCTATTTTTTCTATTCGTTGTAGCAGTATGATTTGAATGATTGAATGAAGGTGTGTCTTCGGTGCATTTTATCGAATGTACATACTACTACAACAAATATCACATGGCATTCTTTTTTGGTTCGATGTATCGATTGTGATGGGAAAATGTAAATATCCAATTTATACATTGGAAATTATTTTCTTCGGATATTTTATTAATTTCTTTTAGTTCCGTTGAGAAAGAAATCTCTGAGTTTAATTTAATTCAGTTTACTGCCATTGATATGATAAAATTCCTAAATAATCAAGATTAGCTTCGAATAAAAATCCATGAAAAAATTCTCACCAGAAAGAACTTATATCGTATGAATGAAGATTTTCAACAAGTGTCTTGTGTGCGTGTGTGTCAAGCACACGCGCACACATACTTCCACATTTCATTCTTCCTTTTCGACTTGTGCTTTGATTTGGTGAGTTTGTTTTTTTTTCGAAAAATTCTTAAATTTTAATCATTTTGAATTATTATTTTTTGTTTCTAGCGGACCAATTCGAAACATTACCGAACAGCAAAATGGTTGAAACACCGTGTACTATTCGAACTCGAAAGTTCATGACCAATCGATTATTATATCGAAAACAAATGATTGTTGATGTTATCCATCCAGGTCGTGCCACCGTGTCAAAACAAGAAATTCGAGATAAATTAGCAAAAATTTATAAAACAACGCCGGATGTTATTTTTTCATTCGGTAATCGTACAGATTTTGGCGGTGGACGTACCACTGGTTTTGCCTTGATATACGATACATTGGATTATGCAAAAAAATTCGAACCAAAACATCGGCTTCAACGAAATGGTCTTTATTCTCGTGAAAGAACTGCACGAAAACAACGCAAAGAACGAAAGAATCGTATGAAGAAAGTCCGTGGTACTAAGAAAACGAAAGTTGGTGCTGGTGCTGGTAAAAAATAGACCAAAAATAACGAATAATTCCATACAACTTTTGAACAATCTCTTTTTAATATATAAAATGTCTATTTTTTGATAATAAAAAAATTGTTCAAATTTTTTCAAATCATGTCTGAAATTCTCTGGAATTACTAATTTTTGTAGTACTAACAATCCAAAAGTCCATTGCCATCAATGTCAATGAATTCAGCCCCCAAAATAAACTCAACAATGATAATCATCACAAATGAATCCTGGTTGAATCCGAAATTTTTGTTTTCTCCCTCCAAGAATCTTATCTCAATGTCAAAAGACTTTGACCTAAATAGCGTTAAATATCAGTTAAAAGTTTGATTTTATCTTGCTGACAATGAATTTTTTCCTTTATTTGATTGATACTGATTGTCATTGTCGTTTCAATTATTAGTTGAAAAATTCAATTGTTAGATCGAAAAATTCTGGTTATCTGTCAATTGAAAAAAATCTATGGCAAATGGAATAGAAAATCCAAGTTTTTCCGCCTACTGGACTATGGTCTTTTTTAATTTTTTTCCTAATTTGTTTGTTTGTGTTTTGTTTATTTCGATCCACTCTTTCGATTATTTTTTTATCATTAAGGCGATCAACCAATCAATCAATCAAACACTAATCAATGTATACCGAGATGATGAATATCATATCGAAATCATGTTTTCATGTTGATGATGATGATTGAAGATAACTATGTTGAATGTTTTTGCGATCCAAACTTTGATTTGGCTTTTGATTTATTTCGGTATTTCAGAGTGAAAAAAAATTGGAATGAAAATCTATTAGATTTTTTTAATTGTTTGTATTTCATTGATCACGATTGTTGTTGGGGTGAAACAACAACTCTTCCCGAGAACGAAAAGTGTAAAGAAAATTTTTCTTTCAGTTTATGATTCGTTCGTCTTTTTCATTTTTGTCTTTGTTCATTCACAAATCGAACATAATTTACTGATTCGAATGATATGATGATTTTCGCTTCCAAAATGGATGGCGACTTAATCACACACATCAAACACATTTTTTCGATGTCATTTATTTTCGTTATTATTTGATTAGATATGAAACAGAGTTTTTTTCTATTTTTTCGTTCACAGTTCTTCAATGAGTTATTGAATGTTTGAGTCGTTTTTTTGTATTGTTTAGAAATGAAAAAACCGAATCATTTACCATCATCAGCATTGAGAGGATCACGAGTTTTTTATTTTTTCTCTATTTTAAATGAATAGCGGAGAGGTGGTGGTGGGGTGGAAGAATTCATGTTTTTTTTTCAATTTCCATTCTTTTTCATTAATAAATACTGAACGGTGATTGAACAACAGACCGATGAAATGATTGTGATTGTGATTGAACGATAAAACAAAAAAAAAATTTCGAAATAAAAATTGAATGAATGATTATCATTCTTATATGATTTACCATGGATTTTAATGATGATCATCATCATTAAAATCAATCGAAAAAATCTTCATTGCCATTTATATTCACACAGACAACAAATATCAATCGTATAAATAAAGGATTACATGTGTGTAAATTTGACATACGTACATCTCATCTTATCTATTTCCGTTAATAAAAGAAAAAGCAATTCATCATCATCGATTATTGCGTTTTGGTTTGAGAAGAAACGTTGCGAATTCATTTCAAATTGAATCTTCACAATATCAGCATCATCATAGCGACAGGATAATTAAAAAAAACAGGGTTCGTGGTCACAAATTGATTTTGTTTTTCATTTCAAGTTCATCAAAAAACATTATCATTTAAATCATGTTGAAAAGCAGATCATTATCATTTTACGGTTGTTTTCAATAAATATATGACCAATTGTTTACGTGTAAAAATTAAAATAAAAATGACATCGATATCGAGAACGATTATAATATCCGATTCTTATCGTTTCAATCAGATTAGATTGTTTCATCTAAATTTTCTTTTCATCATAATCATTATTCTTATATCGTCAATATCATTTAGTAATGGATCTCATTATATGAAATGTAAGCAAATTCTTTCATTTATTTTAGAATTCTAAAAAATTTCATAATAACCTAATTGCGAATATATAGATCATATGAGTGATTATTGTGATCAAACAAAAATCAATCTTATTGAAATGCAACCGCATTCAAATATGACTGCCATTATAATCAAATTGAAACGTGAATCATATAAACCGAATATGAATTGTAGCATTCATTTGAATGTACCATCACCGTATGGTTTAATGGCATTCATAACTAAATTAAAAATGCGTCGTCTTCAATCAAAAGCTGATTATATTGAATTCATTACCAATGGTCATTCATTAATACGATTTCATGGTATAAATCAGGAAATGGTACCGAAAAAAACAATATTAACAAGTAGTGAAACAATGACCATACGTTTTGTTAGTGAACCACAATATTATTCATTACCCGGTAAAGGATTCAAAATTGTTGTCAATCTTTTTGCTCGTAAGTTTTTTTCAATTTATTCATTTATTTCTTATTTTTTCAAAATTGAATTTCAAAATCCTATAGCAACAAATGAAAAAAATGAATGTGATGAAAATATTGGTTTGACAATGAATTGTCAGAATAAATTCTGCATTGATAGTATATTAGGTTTGTGAAGAAAATTTGTCTAAAAAAAATTCCAAACAAGTCTTTTTCGTTACAGAATGCGATGGAATCGATAATTGCCGCAATGATATTGATGAATTACAATGTGGTAAATCTTAACTTAATTCCAAATTTCAACAAATTAAAATTAATTTTTATTCATTCAAAAATATAGATGAAACATCTGAAACAAAATTAAGCCTTTATGTATTTTTATTCACGTTGTTAATCATGTTCATATTATTGGTCATGTTTTTCACCAAAAGTAAAGATCGCCGTAAAATAATCGTACGTCGTATGTCGGAAGCATATGCTAATAATCATCCAATTCTTTATGCAATGGAAAATAATAGTGGCACAGAAAGTCCAACCAATTCAAATACAAGTGTTGATTCATCAAGTCCAAATCTAAATAATATTATATCATCGGAAATAACGATGATAAAACGACCAATTAGTTCATTAAAAAGTCAGCTATCATTAAGTTTACCACATGGTATCGAACGTCTTCATAATAATATCAATGATTTTGTTGTTTGATCCATTTCATTTCATCACATTGCATTTGTTCTTATTAATTCTTGATAGTTTTTGTTGTTCCTTAAATTATTATTATCAATCATCATTTTTTCATCAAAAAAATAAAAATTTAATTTTTTCAGATAGAAAATAGTTTTTTAGATTAATAAAAAAAATATAAAAATCACTTTCATTGATTAGCTATCATGATCATCATTATTTTTAGGTTGTGAATATTTCACACGATCTATCGCCACATAACAGATTTGATTCTTGACATCTTGATAACCTATTGGACCATATTCACAATCACAACAGGCTAAATATTTTATTTTACCATTTTCTGTTTCAGTTTCTTTTGTAAATGTTACATTTTCAAATTTAAATACATCATCTAGACGCCAGAATGTTGATATGGTATCCACATGATCACCTAATGGTAATTTTTGCTGATGTTTCGTCAGTTTGACAACAAAAATTAAACAATTATATTCAAGTCAATTAATAAAATTAAGTTGATTTCAAACCTCTTGGCGATGTAATGGTGCCGTATCAGTACGAAATATTAATGAATTACAACCAGTAACTTTACAACGGCAATCAAGACGATTATTACCATTAGATAATAATTCAACGTCATCAGATTTAGACTCGTTCATTTCATTCTGCAATTTCAGTAAACGCGATTATTTGATAAATTATTCCATTAGAAATTTCATCTATTTCATGATCACTTACCATAATTTTAAAAAAAATTCAAATGAATGATAAATAAAGTTTTTTTTTATTGATTCGGTTTCAGATTTTCTTTTCGATAATAAACACGGATGATTTGGTTCATTCACAAAAAGTGTTTTGAGCATACAATTTCATTGTGTTCCAGATTTTATTGCATGCGTTTTCTTAAATTATATATTCAAAATTTCTACAGTTTGTTTATTTTAAATCCGAAATTGAATCCATTTTATAATGGCTAAAAATATTTCATTTGTTTCGGAATCGATTCTCGATGAGCAACGTAAACATCGCCAAGAAGAATGGTTGAAAAATCGTAAAGAATCTGATCCGATTGGTAAGCAAATTATATTTTGGATTTCATTACAATAATAATATTCAATGATAACAGAGGCTCCTGAACCTGAATATGATCCAAGAACATTATATGAACGTTTACAAGAACAAAAACAAAAGAAACAAGAAGAATTTGAAGAATCAAAAAAAATGAAAAATCTTGTACGAGTATTAGATAATGATGAAATTGAGTTTTTAGCTATTTGTAATAATAGTAAAGCTGAATTAGAAAATCAAAAATATCGTGAAGAATTACTTGCACTGGAAGAATATAAACGTGGTGTAGCACATTTGAACAATGAAGAACAAGAACATAAACTATCCGAATTTAAACGTGAATTATTTCAAAATCATAAGAAACGTTTAGTAACGAATCAATCCATTTCGAATAGTAAACGAAAAAGTCAAGCCGATTTATTAATGGGTGCTATCAAACGGAAGCCAAAAGATGGATTGAAAACTGAACCAGATTCGTTAATAATATCCGATACAAACTTCACCAAAGATGATGGTGATTTAAAAATCAAATTTGATGCATCAAAACCAACCATTCAATGTATTGGAATATTACCTGGAATTGGTTGTTATGATGATGAAAGCGATAGCCTTGAAAGTGATCGTGAATCCAACGAATCGGATTGTGGAGATTTCAATGCGTTTGGTCATAAATTGGCCGAATTAACAAAAGCAGCAGCATCGGAAGGGCAGAATAATAAAAAATAATAGAATTTCAATTCTAAAATTCATTTATCATTGATTTTTTTTCATCAAATTTTATATTTCTATCGATCGATCAATTAATCAATCATACAATGTGTACAGAATAATCATAATAAAATTCTAATGCGAATGTTGTTTTTGATCGTCCGAATTGCCATTTGAATTTTTCTCCCAATTTTGAATGTATTCTTTTTTCAATTGTTCACGACGTTCAAAATAATATGGATATTGAGCTTTTTCAAGTGGATGCCATAGATCCAAAAGAGAATTATCGTAGATATGCTCACGTTCAAACATTAAACCTCCGGGTGAAAAAATAAATTTTTTCGGTTTCGGATGTTGATGTTCGAATAAACGTCGTTCACCATCATCGATCAATAATTTTGCCACACGTAAATCTTTTACATGACGATGTTTTTCGAATTCTGCACGTACAGTTGCCCAAACGAATTGTATATCACCTCTTCATATAATTTAAAATATGAATTTCAATTTCCAAATATATTAGTTACATTTGATAACATACTTATCCTTAACAAAACTTTCTTCATTACGAACACATCGTTTGTAAAGATTTTGCACACGTCGTGTATGCGACAAAAGATCACGTTTTAAATAATCGGCTATATGAGCCATTATTTTCGATTAATCGATTTATATTGAATAAAAATCTTTAAATTTGGATTTTCAATCCGAAAAAACAACAAAGGTCAGACAACAACAACAACATCAATTCGAACAATCATATGTTTACATGGAAAATTTTCCGATTTTTTTTACTGGAAAGATTTCCGAATGATTTTTTTCAATTTTTTAATATCTTTGATTCAGGAGTGGTTCTTGGAACAGTGACTATTTTTTTTTGCATAGCCGAATATCCGCTTTTATTATCAATACATTCCAGGGTGGTGGTGATAATAGTAGTGGTAGCAGTAAACGGAATACAGTATCTCTTTCTCTCTTTAAATATACATTCAATGTGGTGATTGCAGACTTCTCAGTTGAACTTCTACCGAGGAAAAAATTTTCTTTAAATAATTATTATCTTTTTTTTTCGTATTCTTTTTTTCACGTTTGATGGACTCAGGGCGCGCGCGTTGTCCGAATCTTATGTTGTTGTTGAAACATTTTGGTGGTGGCTGTGTGTGTCTGTCAAAAAAAAAACATCATTGGATAATAACTATACGATTTTTTAAATGGTTAAAATATAAGGTACTTACTACATCCGATGTCAAAACAAAACAAAACGATTAGTATAATCATCTTGTTCAATTTTTTTCCAATTCAATATTATGAATGAATCGTGAGCATCATCTATATAATCAATTTTATGTGGTGGTGGTAGAAGTGAATGTTCCAAATGTTTTCAAAATGCGTCATCCAAAGAATATTCTTTTGAATCATCATTGTGTGTCCGAATGAACTCTATGATTTTTTTTTCAACTATATCTGATACAATTGCGCAAATGTCTTTCGTTTATTCCAAACTTTTCTTCGTTTTTTTTTCGGGACCTAGACAATAATCCTTTACTCATAATATTCCTATAGATTCTTCGATCAAACAATCTTATACTTTAAACAAATAAATGTGTGTGATACAGATAAAAATCGAGTAAGTAACCTTTACATTTTGTTGTTGTTTTCGCATACAAAATGTTTTTCATAGTTTTTAATTTTGAAAAAAACTAATTTCTTCCGTTTATCAAAATACTATTTTCATTTACATTAGGTTGTCATGACGCATTCCTGATATCAGGTTTTTTTTTAATATTAATTTTTCATCATAAATGGATGGATGATATTGACAAACAACACATGAGATAAATAAATAAATATGAAATAGAAAATCTTCAAAAAAAAGAAACGACAATAATTTTGAAATATTTTTTTAGTGTTGTGTTGTTTTCCTGTCTGCTGTTTGTTTGTTTTTTTTTGTCAAAAACAAAATAAAGATAAAACCTAATCATCAGCGGATATCGTTTCATCATCATCATCATCATCAACCAACCAACAAAAATGAATCATTTTTGTCTTCCTTTGAATAATCCTCCCCCACACACATAAATTATAAATAAATAGATCATCATAATTACACAATCAAATAGCAAATGTTATGGTTACTATTTTCATCTTGACTATGATATACACAATGATTATCATTCAGAAAAGAAATTATCATCATTTTTTCCATTAATATATGGAATGTGATGATTAACAACAACGGACAATAAATTCAAAGAAAACAAATGCTTTAAACCAATCGATTATATAGAAAACTTATTTGCGGATATCATAGCATTTTTATCTTCATCATCATCATCATCGTTATCATTCAAACATACATCGATTTACCAGATGTTTGAAATTAAATACACACCAAAAGAGTAAGAGAGAAATAGAGTATTGCATCTTTTTTGTTTCATACCAGAAAATCATTGATGATGATGATGATGATGATTAACATTATTTGATTAACTTGCTTGTTTTACATCATCATTTTGCTATTTCAGTGTATGTTTCGAAAAAAATTATTTCATCAATTTTAAAATTAATTTCTTTTTTGTTTATTAAATGTTGTGTCAATCATATTCTTCCATCCACATCTATTTTGTGTTGGTTTTTGAATTTAAGAAATTATTTTATTCAAAAATTACTATTGGGTTTTTTTCCCATAGAAACCAAATCACTTGATTCATTGACCTGATCAATCAATCAATCTATCCAAAAAAAAAGATATAATATCCAACATTGTTTTTTTTTCTTTCTCAAAATTGATCGATTGATTGACACTTGATATATGTCAAAACAATAACCAAAAAAAGAAAATTTCCATAAAAGTGACATGTTTGTGACATTACAATTTGTCTTCATTTAATGAATGAATGATCAGAAAGACCTGATCTGAAAAAAACAATGGTCAACAATTTATCATCAACTGTGACAATAATGACAACAACAATGGCTTCAACTACACCACCACCATCAATAACAACAAATATAAATCAACAACAACAACAACAACCAAAATCTGGTAGTATTAAACGTAATAATCAAGCAATGATGAACATAACTAAAGAAATTGAAGGTTTGTTTCCATTTTTTTAAATAATTATGATGATTTTTATTCATAACATCATTATAATTATGAATCATTTCATAATTATTACCTTTAAGATTTCGTAAAGAAAAATTTTTTCAAAAAAATATAGGTGTTGTTTACTTCTTTCTCAATTTGGCCGTAATGTGACTGTGCCAATGGAATTTCTTTTTTGAAATTTCCTACAATCCTTTATATAATTGTGTATTGTTTTTCTCCAGTTTAAAAATCCAAAAGCCTAACCTTTTTTTGAAAAAAATGAGTTAATGTAATATTCTAACTGTTTTTAAATGAATGTCTATTATTTTATTTTATTTTTTTAATCTCGGAATCTTGATGATGATTATCATAATGACCACTACTACTAATAGATAAACTGAAATAGATAGCGGATTATAAATTATATATGATGATGATTGCAAATTTTTTTTTGAAGGATTTTATTCAAAAACTAGTGTATGCGAGATTAGATTAGATGAATGAACCTGTGTGCGTTGTTGACAGAGAGAAGAGGTTTTAGTGTAGGGGTCAACATTAGATAATATTTAAAACATGATGGTCATCCTTTTTTTTCTCCAATCAACCACAACTGATCAACCAATATGATGTTTTGATATAGAACTTGTTTACAAAAAAAACACGATTCACTAATTTATACCGGTATGTTGATGATGATGATGAACAAAATGGAAATTGTCTTGATGTAATCTCCAAACCATCACGAATACGTCGATGAGTATATTGAAATAAATTATTTCATTGAGAAATTTTTTCACTTTATCATCAATTGTAAACACATCATAATTCCATAGGATTCTTTTCTAACATTAATCACGTTTTTTTTTCTTTAAAAAAATTAAAGAAACTTTTTTGTACCTAGTGTAAGTTTCATTAAAATGAAAAATTATCCTTTTTTTCTTTATATAATTATCATTGATTGTGTTTGTGTGAGGGCGAACAACAATTCCAGCAACAAAAAAATGAGATTAATTCACCCTTGTTACTTATTTCGAACAATAAAACATTTTTGTTGTTCTGTAGAAAATTAATAGGTAAATTATCATTATCATTAAGGAAATTTAATGAATGAATGAAAAAAAATTCGGTCATTTAGACATGATTTTCTTCGTCATCGTCGTCGTCATTGTTTCGCCCACCATTATCATCATCATTACCGTTTATGGATGAATGAATGAATGAAATGTTTCGTTTGTTTAACTTTGGGTTTCATATCTTTTTTTAATTTCTCTCTCTCACTTTTGAATAGTGCTAAATGTTTTTTTTTATTTCTTATTTTTTGTAATTTTAACATTTTCATTCTGTCTCTTTAACAATTTTCGAATCAAATTCAGTTTTTTTGTGTGAAAATATGTGAAAATATCCCGCTTTTTTGGATTATTACGGTTATTCACAAAAAAAATCGAGCGAATAGAAAAAAAACGATTCACATAGTAATTTAAATAATTAAACAAGAAAAACTTTCATGTTGAATGGATTGTTATTTGCCAACCGAATGGCTTATTTTCGTGAATCGTGATGAAAATTTTTTTTTTCAAAAAATTGTAAAATTTACAAAATGCAAAAAGGAATGATTGAATTGTTTTGTTGTTTGAACAATAAACAAATATAAATTATTGAATTGTCATTTGAAATGTTTTTTTAAAATTATCCTTTCTTTCATTGAATAAATCCTTTCATCAACGTTATGTCAAGGTAATATTAATTAAAAACAATCATCAATTAATGAAATGATTGATCAATCGTTTCAGTGAAAATTCAAACTTGGATTTCTCCATATTTATCCATAATGTGTTTGTTATTTTCTTCATTCATTTCGTTTCTTTTCTATTGTCATTCGAAAATCTTTTCATTTTTTAAACTTTAAAATGAAAGAAACGGTGACATTTGAAAAGAAATGTAACATTTTTCTTTGATTGATTACTGATTGATTGAAAAATTTATGACTTTATGTGACATGTATGTATTTGATTCAAATTGGGCTGAAAAAAATTATCGATCCATATATCGATGCAATATTTAAAAAAATGTTATGCATGTCGTTATTACTATTGTCCTCCTATGGTGAATCCTAATTTGAAATTTGAAAAATCCTTGAATTCAACATATAACTTTTCCAATTGTCATTTAATATTTTTTTGACAAGTGTTCATCATCATCTGAAATTATTTATTGCGTAGAAATTTTATCATTTATAAAATAATAATAATAATAACAACAACAGATTGAAAACAATGATATTTTTTTTGATAAAAAAAAGATTATTTTAATGATAAACAAGAAAAATATGTTACCGATTTCATTTGTTAATTGAATCTGGTATATTTAACAATGATGATTGATAATCAATAAATATCAATATCATTGATATTATATTTTCCTCTCTTTATTCGCGAAACTGCGATGGAGATTTTCTTATTTTTCATTGCATAGAAACATCAATTTCAATTAACCAATTATTGCGCATTCAATTGTGAAAAATTGATGTTTTTCACTTTTTAATCTTTATATTTTTTTTTTATTTTTTGTTGTTGTCATTGTATTCATCGAAAAAAAATTGTCAATAAGTTTTTTTCTCCATTAAAAACTTTAATGGCAACAACAACAACAACAAATCGATTAATTTGACATTCCTATTGAATCAATCAATCGTCATTTTCACGACATGAGTCATTTTTGTGTATCCCCTTGTCTTCAATGATTGTGAAAAACATTGAGTTCAGCTGTTTTGAAAAATTTTTAAATTTTTTCTTGTTAAAGATGCCAAAACATCGTAATAATAACGATGATCATCTAATGATGATGGATCATCGTTGGATTAGTATGATTGATGAATATTTTATGTCGGTTGATGCAATAATAAATCTTTTTTTTCATTTTTATTCCCAATAACAGAACATGTCTCCAATATGATTGGTCCAAACATAAAATTAACACATAAAGCGATGCTCAAATTGGAATTAAAAACGGATAAATTTGAAAATCGTTTATTAATATTTACACAATATCGATTATTTATATTCACAGTGAAAGGAGGCGGAAGCTCAACTAAACTAGAACATTCATATAATTTGATTGATATAAATCATATTGAATCAAGACAATCGGATCGTTTGATAATCGGTTTTCGTTCGATTGATTCAAAACATCCATATTGTTTTCATTCCTGTGATCCAAATCAAGAAGAAATAAATTTGATTATTTGTCATTTGGTTAGCTCATTAAAAACATTATTTCCATATATGCCATTCGAATCGTTCATTAAACGATTTATTGTTGAACCAAAACAACGTTTAGATAATATTTATGAGTATGTTCAATTGATGGAAGAGCGATTACGTTTCCGTTCCCATGATCATCCTTGCGGTGGTTTCTCCAATCAATATGCTTGTTTTTGTGATTATTATGGTGTGCCATATAGAGAAGAAGTTGCAAGAGATATTGATACAATATATGCGGCTCATAATCATACCGAGCTTTCAATATTAGATTTCGAACATCTTGATCTAAAAGATTTACAACCGCTCATTGCTGCATTAACATATAATGGATATTTCACAAAATTTCGTGTTTCAAATGTTAAGATTGTTAATAGTAGCCAATCAGGTAGTGATCAACTTTGTGAACTCATAGTCAATCTTGTACGACGATCAACTAAACTAGAGGAAATATATTTAGATAATACCGGTATTCGTGCAGATTTTGTCAATAAATTATTTCAGGCAATGTTATTGAATAATCAAACATCGATACAATATATTGATTTATCAAATAATACAATTGAAGATAAAGGTTTGAAAAATATGACTGCATTCGTTGCAAAATCATTTCATATGGCTAATTCTATGATGATGAATAATTCATCCGAAGATCTCAGTTCAGCATCATTATCGTTATTAAATTTTTCAACCTGTTCAAATCCGATTCAAAGTCAACAACAATCGAATAATAGCAATAATAATACGATAACATCATCAGCAAAATTAATGTACAAAGGTCTTGTACATTTGAATCTTTCACATTGTGGTATTACATCGAAAGGTATTTCCGAACTATCAGAATCACTTTATTTGAACAAATCAATGTTTTCAACATTGACCTACCTTAATTTAAGTGATAACTGTTTCAAAGATGATTTATCGGTAAGTTTAAATTGTGAAAATTGTTGGTGATTAGTTTATATTTTCAATATTTATTAAATTCCTGAATTCGATAGAAACTGTATAATTTTCTGGCTCAACCAAACAATATTGCTCATCTTGATCTGTCCGGAACCGATTGCAATTTGGAAAGTGTTTTTGGCGCCCTTCTTCATGGTTGTACAAACAATCTTGTGCATTTGAATTTATCACGGAACCAATTTAGTGGAAAAAAATCCAGTCATAAAGATTTGATAGTGCCTGTTTCGATCAAAAAATTTTTCTCTACTGCAATATTTTTACGTACATTAGATTTATCGCATAACAGATTGCCTACTGATGCACTCAAAGCCATATTACTCGGTTTAGCTTGCAATGAATCGGCTTCAAATTTGCGAATTAATCTTTCATCGAATGAATTCAGATCGAATGGCGCCGCCGTACTAGAGCTTTGTCTGGCCGATATTCGATGCGTTTCCGGTTTAGATCTCAGTGACAATGGACTTGATATGGACCTCATTCAAGTGATTGGTGCAATCGCTAAAAACAAATCGATCAAATATTTATCGATTGGTCGTAATTTTAACAATATTAAAGCCAAGTAAGTTTATTTTTTAATTTTTCATTTCATTTTAATTATTTTATTTACTATTTCTCCAGACATTTGCCAAAAGTTTTAGATGCATTTTCCACATTACTACAAGATCCAGATTGTTCCATCGAATCATTATTGTTGGTTGATTCGAAATTACGCGCTGAAATATCAATTATTTTGGATGCACTTGGTTCGAATCAATCATTGATCACTATCGATATTTCGGGTTTGTTTTTTATTCATCCAAAATTTTCCCTACAGCTTTGTTTAACAATTTTTGTTTTTGAATCAGGAAATTTAATGGGGTTACTTGGAGCAAAAACGTTGGCAAAAACACTCCAAATAAACAATCATATGGAAACAATTTATCTGGATCGTAATCTGATACCAACAGCGGGATTTTTTGATATTGCCTATGCACTTGAACGCAATTATACATTGAAATATCTTCCAATCCCGATACAAGATCTACAGGCAGCGATGATGAAAATGCCCGAGCGTACAGAAATCGCTATGAATAAAATTCAGGAATTTATACGTCGTAATAATCTACCGCAAACGGCCGCTGTACGTAACATGCGGTTACATAATCTACAAAATTCCCATTTCATTGTTGACAATAATTTGTTTGTCAAAATTGATAAAATTGCCATACAATTGCAAAATTTAATACGTGAAAAATCACCATTATATCAACAAAATCGCAAACCATCATTGGATTCGATTGATATTAGTACACATTCAAATCAGGATAAAACAATTACGGTCGATGATTTTTGCATGACGAATGAAAATTATATTGGCCGAATTGAAAATCTATTGAATGATGTTCGAAATATGCGATCACTTTATAGTAAAGTACAAGAAGTTTATGCACATACAACACAAACAATGAATGGATTGTCATCATCATCTTCAATAAATGATAGCTATGGACGAAGATTTTCATCTATTGCGATTTCACGTCCAATTGAAGCAACAATTTTGGAATTTTCACGTGAATTAAAAAGTTCATTTGAAGGTCAAGTTGTATCGGTTTCTGAATTGATCATACAATGTATAAAAGATGAATTTCCAAATGTATTTTTTCATAGTCAGCATCTTGAAGGTGATCTTCGGGAATTGTATAAAAATTCAATCAATATAAACTCGACTCAATCATTAATACCACCGATGGAATATTTTCAAGTGTGCCTTACCGAAGCAGTCGGTACACAATGGTCAATTAAATTGGAACAGATTCTCAATACAATAGCTAGTCAAATATGTAATAAAGTTTTGATCGAAATTAATCGGTGTTTAATGAATACTCAGAAAATGATTGATAGCTGTGATCTAAAATCAAGGACAAATGCAATCAACCTTAATAATAATCATCATGTTCATTCGAATGGCAATAGTAATGGTCCATCGATACGAAGTTTAACACCATCGGATCTTCGAAGTCAAACATTAATCGAATCATATTGTAGCTCACAAGATTCAAATGATTTATTAAGTTTATCGAAACATGATAATGATCAACAAATGATGGATTCCGATAGCGATAATGCAATTGTAAGTTTTTACTTTTTATATAATCAAAATATTTGTTAGTGTTACTTGCTTTTATTACTTACTTGTCCTATTCTTTGTGTTATTTCCTTTTTTTATTGCTACCATTTAAAGTGGCTAGCTTGGCTAAATCTCGTAAGTTAATCGATGATGTTTTCCTTTCATTATATAATGACATTTTGTATTGTTTTATTAATTTTATTTTGTTTTTTGTTTCGAAATAGGCAACACCTAAACTTGGTAATAGTCAAAAACGTCAAAATGTCTATATAAGAAAATTACGGCCACAATCAGTTCTAGATGGTGATATCATCGTAACGAATGAAGATGATTTTACCGATCTAATGATCAATCGTAATGATCAATCTCAATCGAATGATAATAATAATGCTAATAATGATTCAATACATCAAACAAAACCAAATCTTCATCTAACTAAAATGCGACCACGAAATCGTAAAATTCGCGCACCGACACGAGTGACGATTGTTGATTCGAAAACAACAGCTAATAAAGATCAACAAATAGTAGATAATAATCCGATTGGTTCAAAACTAGATGAAGGATTGGATAATTTTTTCCCCTCATTATCATTGATGAACAATTCATCATCATCGAATGTTTCCATCGAATCCAAAGAGATTGATCAAACAATACAGCAGAATTATCAACTACAACCGAATAAACCTCAACCACAACCTCGAAAAATTTTAAGAAAATTAGGTTTCAAATCTCAAAGCGAACAACAGCAATCAATAGATAAACAGGCAATGATCAAACAGAATGAAGAATTGATTTTTTCAAATTCACCGATCATTTTTGGAAACAGACGAGTTGCTACTGCTGGTAGTGGTGGTGAACATGTTTCCATTTGTAGTGATTCAAATGATGTACATCATACCGGCGGTAGCCGTGTTCATAGTCCATTACCATCAGCAAGTGGTGATATACAGCAACATAATGAATTATTAGCCGAAATGAAAGCAATTCAAGAGAAACGTTCATATAATTCTACACCTGTTTCTAATGAACAGCTAACATTTGCATCAACGTTGGAAAAGAAATCTAGCATAGAAAATATTGATGATGATAAGTCATCAATTATTTCGCAACAACAACAAAGTTCAGATGACACTTCAACAACTAATAATAGTACATCAATATCAGTGGCTAAACGTGCAACCATATTCGGTGATTTACATAAATCACCATCCAAACATTCGATATCAAGTCCAACGGAGGAAAATAATGAAATCATTGGTTCGAAAGAAAATCATATTGCTAATAGTAATAATCAAAATAAAAGTACCACAACATCAACAACATCGTCATCACGGCAACGACCTAAATCAATGGTTGGAATGTTGGGTGCAAAATTTGAATTATCATTAATGAATTCTAATTCTAATAAATGATCAATTGTATACAATCCACTAATATCAATAGTCATTAACAGGAAAATCAAAAACACACACTTGACACAAATATTCAAAATCAATAAAGAATTTATCGATTTGATATGATTTTTTTGTTATTATTATCTGTATATGTTTGAAAAGTAAAAAAAAAAATAAAAGCTAATTCCAAGGGACAATTCATTTGAATATGCAACTATCGACTATCGATGATAAGCGATGTTTTTACAATCGATACTGTTAGGTTAGGAGTGGTCTGTGATATCCAAAACCACTTGTTGCTATTGCCAAATATCCAAAATTTCAATCCGGTGAGTTTTTTCAATTTCTTTGTAGTTGTCACATTATTAAATGATAATTAGTATTATTGGTTGATGATTAGGATTGCTTAGAAACATGACATTAATTGCAATACCATTTATTGTTCCCCTTGTTTATAGTTGATCTCATTGTTGGCGTGTTCGTGTGATATACAATCGTTGGAAGCAAATTTCACAATACATTTTAACCAACGATATGAAGTTCTTGTCATGTATAACATCAATCAATAATGATGATGAGAATGAAGAAAGTATTGTCAATGATCGTAAAAAATCTAAATCATGGTATGAGCCATTGAGACAATTATTCAAATCATCAAACAAAAAGAATCGTGTTATCATTTCTGATCCAACGCCATTGTCAAAAGAGAAAGTACCCGAAGTTACTGGTGTTGTTCAAGTTGGACCCGAAGAATTAGGTGAAACTGTCGAAAAATCACTGAATAATAATAATAATAATGATAATAATAACGGTGAAGAGATATCGGTGAAGGATTTGATTGTTCCAGATAAAGTGAATGCCGAGACTAACACTGAACAACACGAATCAAACCAACAAAATGAACAGCAACAACCAAATGATCAATTAATTGAATCAAAAGAGAATGAAATTTCAGAAATAATTGAAGATAATGAAATCTTCAATTATGGTTGGTATTGGGGTGATATAACACGACGAGATGCCGAAAATTTGCTTAGAGGACAAGAAGAGGGAACATTTTTGGTGAGAAAAAGTTCCAATCAACGATTTCTTTATTCATTAAGCTTTCGTTCGAATGGAAAAACTCTTCATACACGTATCGAATATTCAAATGGTTTATTTGCATTCTATTCAAATGATTCAAAAGAAAGTAAAGAGCTAATCGATGGTAATTCGTCATTATATGATCTGATATCGGATGCAATGAATCAAAATAATGCCGAAAATATATTTTTCTATTCACGCGGTTTACATAATAACGAAGCGTCTCTTCATACCATAACATTGGTTCGACCATTATCACGATTTCAATATGTTATCAATTATAATTATCTTGATGATGATCGACATCGTTCATTACAATATTTATGTAAATTTATCATACATCATTCATCAATTGCTCAAACTCAACTTATCATAAAACAAAATTCTCTACCCGAAGAATTACAAACATTTTTAAATAATGGTCTCCTTTTTCCGTATGTCGTACAGAGAAAAAATCAAAAATGAGCTTTTCTATCTTATTTCTCTTTGATTGTGTTCATTCGCTTTTTATTTTGAACTTAGCATTTTTTTTTTTTTTTTTTTTTTTTTTTTTTTCAACAAAAAAAAATTAATTTTTTTTTAAAAAAAATTTTTTTTTTTAAAAAAATTTTTTTTCTTTTTTTTTTTTTTTTTTATTTTTTTTTTTTTTTTTTTTTTTTTTTTTTTGATTGTCAACCAAAAAAAATTAATTATTTTTTAAAATCAAATTCTTTTTTCAAAAATACTTTTATCGATTGTATCGATCAAATGTTCATTACCGTTTTTTCACGATTTAAAAGTATCTTGGAAACAAGTAAAAAAAATTTCTCAATTAATATTGTCACTATTTAAGCGTAGCAGAATGCACTTGATGCTTTTTTCCAATACTGGCAGCAAAGGTAACAATGAATCCATGATAATAAAAATATCACTATTTATTGCTACTACTCTACTGACAGTATAAAAAACCGCATTTATTATGATCAATTCAACAATGACATTGCTATTGCTATTACTACTACCACATCTATTGAATATTTGCGCAAGCTATTATAAACATCTTTATGCTTGCTCAATATATAAGCATTGCCGTCATCGTTAAACAAAATAATAAAAAATATTGAGCAAAAAAGAAAAAGAAAAAAGAATGAACACACAGGTAGAAGCAGCAGGTTTCTTTAAAAAAATTATTGAAAAAATGAATGGGTTTTTTTCCTACCTTGCTGCGCCTGTTGCTCTTCAGATATACAGAACTTGAGCATCCAAAAAATCAACTATATGTATGTGGATAATATAGAGGCATCATTATCAACAACAACAACAATTATTTGTACGTTTCTTCTATATTGCTATATGGATTGGGCTTTTTTGTTGTTACTTCGTAGTCGTGCTATAGGTGGACTCAATTTTTTATTATAATAATAATTATTATAATCACCATCATCATCGTAGTCGTCATCCAATTGAATTAAATTCCATCCATTGATGTGTGTTTGATTCTGTGTTTGTTTTGTTTTTGTTTTGAGTAAACTCAATTTCTTTAGTTAGATATCAAATGTTTCTTAATGAAATTAAATTAGTTAACAGATGACTAAATATTAATCAATCGACCATCATTTTCATCATTCATTCATCAAGGTTGTGTGTGTCCATCGCACACACACCTGTTAACCCTTAAGATTTTTTTCAAATTTTTCAACTTAAATTAGAATTTCAAGAAAATTTGGTGATAAATTCTTAAAAGGCCTTATTATTATTTTAAAAACTTATCTTAAATCATCTTTATTTGTATGATGCCTTATCTATCAAACAATCACCATTACTAACAATAATAATTATTGTAAAGGTATTGTATTTTCGATGAATGAAAGCTATTGATTTAATAATAGGAAATTAATAATTTCAATATTTTTTCTTTGTTTTAATCAAACATGTCACATACGCGGATATACAGATCAATAACTAAACGTAATATAATCTTATTAAACACTAACCAAAATCCTGGTTTATTATTCATTTATTTGTAATGTGTGATGTAAACTTGAAATTTTTTCAATTTATCCTTAGAATTCATTGACTACAAAACAGGTAAGTTTTTGTTGTTTTACTGTAATGTTTTTTGAAGTAAATAATTTTTGTTTTTACCTTTTATTTTCAATTCTCACTTGTAGATTTTATTTTCAGAATTTTTATCCCATAAAAGAATTTTTCCTATACTGCTCATGTGATTCATTTTTTTTGTCGCTAATCGATTTGTGCCCTCAAAAAAAATTTCAATTAAAAAAATCAAGGAAAACTTTCAACTCTCGAACTTCCATTTTGTTCTATTCGATTTTTGTTGTTGTTCATAATTTGTCCATACTATTTTTTCCAACAATTCCCTTTCAAATGTCGATGGCCATTATATAATGATGTGGTAAAGATTTTGTCGTCGTCATCATCATAATAATCATAACGACAAAAAAAATATCTAAAATATTGCAACAAATTTACATGAACGGAACTATTCCATCCGTTATTTTCAAAATCGATCATCATCGTCATCATCACTACAGTGTTCATTTGTTTGTTCACGACATTCCATCCACATTCATTCTTCCATCCATCTATCCAATTAGACAGGATTTTGATATTTTCAACAAAAACAAAAATATTTTCATCCATCGATGATTCATTAATCGATTAAATTAAGTTCCATGTTGTAAGTTTTTTTTTGTTGTTGAAAATCATTTCAATCAAAAGGGTATGTGTGTTTTGTCTTTTTCATTTTTGTTTTATTTTCCATTTATCTATACGACAATGATGGCAAATTAAGAAATTCTATTTTTTATTAATTGTCTTTTATTATGAGTCAAAAGTGGAGAAAAAATGTCTCTTCAATCATTTTAAATTGTCAAAACTCGATCAATCCAAAAAAAAACTTATCATCATCATCATCATCATCGAAATATTTAATGATTGATTTGTTGTCTCAAGACAACAACGTTTGTATCAACGACAACGGCATGATCAGAAAATGTTTTTTTTTCTCTCCAAATTTTCAATGTCATCATTGTGAAGATTTTTGAATGAATGTACCATAGAAACAGTGGAGAAAATTCTTTTATTTTTTTTTGTGTGGTTAATGTTTTGATTGTTGATTTTGAATAAATGCCAGATGAAAAAAAAAATTGTGAACCAAATAACGGTGTGAGTGTTTATACGACGATGATCATCTTTGTTGTTATTTGAAAATTTCATCATGATCATGATCATGACCGTGATAAATATGATGATGATGATTTTGATATTCTCTCGTCAAAGCTAAATTCAAGAAACAAAATACGGAAAAAAAGAATCCGACATTCAAATGTAGGAAAAAAGGGAGAAAAAATTTGCTAATTTTTCTTGGAATTCTTTGAATATCTCTTTTGATGTTAATAAATTATGAAGTGTTTTTATAGAAAGAAAATAAATAACACTTGGTTGGTGGTAACCTAAATTTAAATTTGTTTTTCTTTCCACATTTTTTGATTTTTTTTTCGATTCACATTCTGAAAATCTTTCAATGAATATTCTATATTCTATTAGCTTTGTTGTTCATTATTATTATAATCATCTGGAGTGTTGTTTAATAGCAAAGAATTTGTTAATTTTCTTTTCTAATTTTTTATTATTGTTTCGCAACATTTGGAAAAAACCATATGTTTTTGATTTTGTATTCCCGATTTTTTTCTCGTTAATTTGTGGTAGCAATTTTATTATATCATAATATTCGAAATAAAATAACAAAAATAAAAATTTTTTCTCGGGAATATTTCCGAAATATCCGAAAAAAGTTGTTTGTTTTCACTTTTTTTCCATCAACATTTTATAACGGCAATTCAAAAAAAATATATGTTTCCATAACAATGTTTATCATAATCATTATGGTTTTGTTTGATCAAAAGATAATTTAGATTGGATTTTTCATATTTGGATTTCGATTGACACAATTAAATTTTCTATTCTATCCTTTTATATGTTTTTCAAATATTTTATCGAAATAATTTGTGATGCAATGATAATCCAGATTTAGTTAATGAAATACAGTGAGTGAGAAAGCGAAACCATGGTAACCCCAATATATTGCTTTATTATTGGTTGTTCCAGGAACAATTTTTTTTTCTTTGAACAGGTGAAACTGTGTGTGTGTTCATTTCATGCACATGTTTTGTTTTGTTTTGATTGTTGACAATTTGTTTTTTTCCCACCATAAGAATGAAAATTCATTTCAAAAATTGATTGATTGATTTTTGCTTTTGATTTGGTGTTTGGAAAATCTTTCTTGATTTGCATTGTATGATCTTGAGTCTTTGAAAATGATTTTTCGCTAAATATCCGTGTACATGAGCTCGATAGGCCCAAAAACGAAAAAAACATGATTTATCTTCTTCGGTCATACCTGGATATAATTGGTTATGTGATGTGATTGTAATCATTTTTTTTGCATCTTATTTCAGCACGTTATGATGATGAAGGATGTACGTGTATTTTTGATAAAAATGTGTAGGTTTAAAAAAATGATTCAGATTTGGTCACTTTTCATGTTCATGTTGATTTTCTTACATTTTTTCCATTTTCTTATTACATAAAATTATTATCATCATCTTCATTGATAATCATTATCCAAATGCGTGTTTTTTCCGTATTAAAAATGAATGAAAAAAGTTGATCTTGATGATAACGATGCTGAACAATATGATGATTGAGATTTGCATACAATTTTTATATTTCATTTCATAATAATAAAAAAAATATTTAGATTCATACCAAATCTGTAAGAAAATTTATTTCACTGTGATATGGTTTTTTTTTCTTGTTGCGTGTCTGTATTTTAATCTTTAAAACATTTGAACTTTGTTGAAATTTTTATCGCCATCCTTATGTAATGGTTGCCTGTCAAGATTTTTTTGTTTTTGTTTTGTAACATCTTTTTTTCTTTTTTTCAATGACATTTTCGTTTGTTGTTTCTAGTGATTAAAATTCTCTTTGTTCTCTCAATTTGTGTTTGAAAGCGGAAAAGATTAAAATTTTATTTGAAAAATTGAAAATAAATAAGAATAATAATAAACAAAATCATTGTTTATTTTCATGATTGATATGGGATTTCATCAAATTATCAATCAATTGATCTAATTTTAAATGATAAAAATTAATAGGATTTATTTCAAAATTTATTTCGAAAATTCCCCATTCAAAATTGTCGTCATTGTTAATGAATTATTTAGTTACGTCAATATAAGGATGTTAAATATTTATGATTTTTTTCAAATTCGTTTCTCTCATTTATATACGAAAATAAATCTGGTTGACCTTGTGTGTGTGTGTGTGTTTATATGATGAGTCACCTGTTTTGTTCTGCTTTCAGGTTGTTATTCTATATCTTTAGTCTATATCAATGGCGCCAATCATTTTTTTTCTTTGATGGGTAATTGTAATGTTTAACAAAGTGTATTATATAACATAATAAATTGATGAATAAGGGTAGCAGTTGAAAAAAAATTCATAAATTCCATTCATTTTAATCATTCTGTACATTATTATTTCTTGTTGTTGTTCTGCCGGTCGTTTTATTATAATTATGTAACATATGATCATTATCATGATTGAGAAGAAATTACAACAACAACAAAGTCCTTGAAATGTCATCCGACAACATCATTATCATTGAACTTGTTACTTTTCGTTTATTTTTATTTTTTAAATAGGTAAAAAATTACATAATGATGATAGCCTTACAATTAGTTCTTTGTTCGTCTTCAATTGTTATATTTGTTAATTACATTTACTCTCTGATCTTTGTTCTGTTTACCATTGAAGACCAAAATCTGTCTGATCTGTTTCAGGGTTGAATTTTTTTTCAATTTTCAGAAACCATAATTATTTGAAAATTTATTGATTGTCGTTTTTTTTGTCTGAAGCAATGGAATTGATTTTTTTTCTTCTTGAAGAAAAGTGTGTGTGGGAGGATATTCTGTTGATAATTTTTATAAGTTGTTTATCTATTTTTTTCGTAAAAAAATGATTAAAATTTCATTTTCGGTTTTTTTTATTTGATTTTGTTTTAGTAAAAACAAAATCCTTGTTATTTGCCGTCTTTACCTTTTTCTCAATCCGTTAAGTTTACCCGATAGTTATTATATAAAGATAATGTAATAAAATTAACAACCCATATTGATAATTATAATGGTGCAACCAAAAGAAAAAAATGTTTGGTTGGTTCAAATCATCATTATCATTATCATCATTGTATGGAAGAGAGAAAAAAAATCTCTTTGTATATTATGTGCTCTATACTCACAAACATACATGATGTATCCATTTAGATTGGGATTTGATTTCTTGGAATTTTTTTCTACAATGGTGAAAAAAAGAATAGAAAATGAAACATAATGATAGAAAATCTAATGATAATATGTTGTGTCCTGGTTTTCTTTTATTTTTTTTCTTGATATTGATGAATAATGAAGATTGAGAGAATAACAATGATGATGGAAAGAACAGGAAAAATGTTATTTTTTCTTCATGTCACGTTATCAGTAAATAGTGGATATGAGATTGGTTGATCTATGTTTGTGTGTGTGTCGATCATGATAATAATGATAATGATCATTGATGATGATGTTGTTGTTGTTGGTTTTCTGTATTTAGATTTTGATTACGAAATGATAATAGCATCAGTACTTTTTTTCTGCTGTTATTGGTGATGATGATTATATTTGTTGTATGTATGTATGTGAATGGTAATGGGTTAGAAATAAAATGACGATTTCAAAAATATAAAATTTGACATTGAAAAATTTTGATTGATCAAAAATTTCTTTTGCTCTCCTATTGGAATTGATTTACTATGGTTAGATTATTCTGATCTTTGATTTAGGGTTAGGTTGTTCATTTGAATTGATTTTGAAAACGTGTTTTTTTTAATTTATCATCTGAGATTTAAATACAATAGGCGTTATTATTATTAAATAATGATATGTGATAATGATAATTTAAAAAAATCAATAGTTATTATCAATTTGTCAAATTTATTGATTGATTCTAATCTATAAGCTCATCTTCATCATCAAAATTAAAAAAAAACGATTGGGTGTTTGTTGCGTATCAATATAAAATTGTTTGTTTTCATTTAATCTTAATACCCGTTATATGATGATCATGATCATAAGGTTAATCGATAAATTTTTTTTCTTTGTTTCAATCTTTAATTTGATTTTTTTTCTTAATCTTGAAATTGTTTTTTTTTCTTTTTATCATGCAGATTTGTTCTTAAATAATGCTGATCACTGACTACGTGTTTATTATTTTTTATACGCAGTAGCTTCTGATGATGATGATTATCATTTAATATCCTACATTAAATCAAGAATAAACATCAGATGTGAAAAAACACAATCAAAATGTCAATTTGTTTGTGACAATAATAGCCGAAAATAATCACAAGCAAGAATCGACAAACAAATAAAATCAAAAAAAAAAGTCTTTCATCATCTAAAAATCAACAATTGTGTTATTATTTTGGTTCCAGAAAAAATTTAATCAAAATGCAAATAAATTATAAAATTACAAAATAATGATGATGATTAAATATTGATTTTCTCGACGACAAAAGAGAAAAAAAAGGTCAAAAATCTCCATCATTTCAAATACAAAAAAATGTGATGATTATAATGAAAACAAGCCACATATTAAATTAAAATTAGATCATTATAATTGAAATGATTGCCACAGATCATCATCATCATTGTCATCAACCGCAACAACAACAACAACAATTGTCACAACATACAACGGCATCTACTACCTTATTATTACCATCATCATCGACTTTATCGACGTCTTTGACCGAATCACAAATATTCATCAATAATAATAATCATCTTTATCATCATCATCAACAACAACTACAACTACAACGCTCATATCCCAATATGGAGTAAGTTATTCTAAAATAATTGATTTAAATGGATGATAATAATATCATCTTTGCAATTCCAAATTTGTCTTTTTTTGCAATTTGTGTTTTTTCTTGCTTGAATTTCATATTAAATCAGATTGACTAAATGAAAGAAATTTTCTTTTCTGTTTTTAATTTCTATACTAGTAACGAACATCAAGGCATTACTAAACGAACTGTGATCATTCATAAAGATCCTCGTGGTTATGGTATGCGCATTTCGGGCGATAATCCTGTTTTCATTCAACATGTTAATGAAGGTTTGAATTTTTGTTTTTTTATTCCGTAATTTGAATAAATCATTCTTTGTTTTTGTTTTGTTTTTTTTGTAGAAGGGGCTGCTTATAAAGCCGGTGTGCGATCAGGTGATCAGATTGTTAAAGTTAATGGCACATTGGTAACCCGAATGGGTCATGCTAAAGTTGTAGAAATGATACAATCATGTGGTGCATTCGTCGGTCTAACATTACATACGACTTCGACAAATTCTTTGACTGCATCATCTATTTCATCAAATTCCGATACATCTTCGATGAATAATACAAATAATAATAATGGAATGACAAATGCTACCATTACTTCACAATCATCAACATCGTCGGATATAACTTTACGTCATTTATCGCCAACTAATTCACCAACACCTCCAAACAACAACAATAATAATCAATCTTCTGGCATTAATAATTCAGCATCGATGTCATCTTCATTTGGCCCAAATCATTATTCATCAATGTATCCGATGAATATGGTTGTATTAACTAGTAATAATCCAATACAAATAACTGGGCCGCAACCCGTGCCGGAATCAACCCAGCAACATTATCATGAAAATCAGATTCGAACCTTGAAAGAAATGATTAATAAAGAGCATAGACATTTAGAAGAATTAAAATTAATGTGTGCAAAACAATCAGATTTGGATAGCTGCCAGAAACGTATCAATGAAATGACATCTAAATTGGAGATGCATCAATCAAATATAGCGGCACATATTAACAATATTAATCATAGTCGACAACATAGTTTTGAAAATTCTTCCACATCCGTACAGGATTTTTCCACACCAATCATCAATCAACATCAACGTTCAAATTCATCATCCGATCATTCAATAATTGGTTCGAATTCTAAATCACCACGCATTATGCCGATGGATGACGATGTAGATATTGATGCCGAGAATTCCGGTATCTATCCATATGAATATATTGAAAATATTGATCGCCAATTACAACAACCAGATCAACATCTAACATCTGCAACTAAATCTTCGATTGGTATTGCTAAATCCGTATCGAATCCTTCGGTTCTATTAAGACCGAATAGTGGTAATAGAGATAAAGTAAAACGTGACTCAAAAATTATGCCCATATTAGAAACACCCTCACCATCATCACCGTTACCATCCAGTGTTGTTGGTAACGTATCAATATTGAATCCAAAATCCTGGTACAATATTCATCTGGATTCATTACGTATGAGTCGATATTTGATTCAGCATAAAATGCAACCACCCAATGAATTATTATTCTATGTGATGGCAAGAAATGTATTTCCAAGGATTGTTACATCAACTGCTATTCCAGTTGGAAATAAATTTCAAGTGATACAACGATGGGCCTATCAAATTATAGCTACATTTGTTACGAAAGAATCACCATTGTTTATGCAAGAATTTCCACCAGATTATCTTGAGCAATTTGATCGTAATTTAACAGCATTAATATCTGCAAACCCATCAGCCACAGATATTATTGCTAGCCCATTTGATCCATTTTTAATGACCATATATGAAACATTACGAAAACAATGGGAAGAATTTATGTTGGCAACATCATCAATGTCTCAGATGATGATCAATTCGAATCCTAAACATGATCTACAAGCCATCATTGAAATGTTATTTACCACACATACAAATATTTGTATGGCATCACAACAACAACCTGCACCGACAATGACAACCAATTCCAATATGAAAATTGATCTTCGCGACATTGATCCAATATTAGATTCATTTGTTGCATTAGTAAAATCACATCAATCTGAATCGACAATGGCATTGATTAGTTCACTATTGGCTATTGGTCGTTATATATTCCAAATGACAACATCTAAACATTGTCTTTTACTTGAATGTTCGGGTCCTGGATCATCATCATCATTATCGTCAACATTATTGAATAGCAATTCAAATACAAATTTCAATTCGACTCAAGTACCAACATTAAATCCATTGCTAAAATTATCATCAGAATCATCACGTTCATCAAAATCTGGTCATAAACGTAATTCAATGATACCGATCGGTTCGAAATCATTCACATCGGCAACACATTCATTGGGTAATTCATTTGATTCTTCATTGCTTGCATCATTGACGAATGGTAAATTGAATAAAAATATGGATTCACAATTACAATCAAATGTTGGCGGATCTGGTATTGGCACTGGTAGTAGTAGTAATATTGTCGGAAATATTGCATCATCAAATTTATTAAACAGTGGATTTACAATCGAAGATCGATCACATTCATTCGTATCGATAGTGGAAATGAATCAAATAATTTATTGTACCAGTTGTATGTTGCCTATGTGGGGTGATCCATATACATGGAAATGTACAAAATGTTTGATGTATGCCCATCAATGGTGTAGAAAAATTGCTGCAGCCAATAATATTTGTAATAATGATACTCATCATCATCAACATCAACAACAGAATTCTTTTTCATCGCAGACATCTCAAACGGGTGGTAATAATAAGAATAATCGTCGTATAAAATCGGAAAAGAAATCTGTATTTGAAAAATTTTCCGTTGGAAAACGACGTCGTAATCATCCTAGTGATTTTAATATTGGCACTTCATTAGCCCGAACACAATCATCGTGTTCATCATCATCATCAACATCATCGATTTCATCGGAAAATTCTAGTTCTGATCTTGAGGATTTTATTCTTTCAAATCCTACTACAACAACTAATAACAATTACAAAAACATAACCGATGAAGTTGGCTCTATGATTTCAAACAAAAGTGTCAATCAAGAAAGTACAAATAATACTATGTCATCTACATCGACCGCGCCAAATCTAGTGAATCGTTCCGGTTCGTTTGTTCAACGAAAAAAGAAAAAATCTTCTACATCAGTCGGATCACCACGAAAACGTTCCGATCCGGCATTGACTTCCAGACAAATGATTTCAACAATGGCTAACAAAATAATGATGAATATGATGATCGATGATGTGGGGACCAATAACATTGCTTCAACAAGTGGAACATTACCTCAATTGACTAGTGCCAGATCAAGTGGTGCATTGATGAATTCGGCTTCTGTTGGTGCACATGATTCTGTTCAATTCCGACCGATTACTGGTCAACGAGCAAAACACATGGCAGCATCGGATTCATCTTTGATGTCAGTCACATCAAAATCATTGAAATCACCTCAACCAATTCCTAGTAGTAGTAGCGGTATACCGAATTCTACGAACACTGAAAGCCAAAAATCTTCATCTACAAATCTAACATCCACTTCTTCACCACGACGTACTCGACATCGGAATACAAATGATTCGGCAATTCAGATGGATGGTAGTTCTGAAGACGATATCGATGATCAACAATTGAATGAAAATGAAACTCCAGCAACAACTCTATCAAATGAAATTGATGGTGAAAAAACAATTCCATCACCAATACCACCACCTCCTCTTCCGCCTCCTTTAACATCATTGGTACCACCACCCTTACCTCCTAGACCCGATTCACAAACCGAAAAACGTCGACAAATTCAAATGGAAATCATTCAAACCGAAGAAGAACATTATGAAGTTTTACGACATATACGAAAAATCTATCAAAAACCATTGAAAAAAGAAAAATTATTCAGTTCCGAGCAAATCGATATCATTTTCGGTAACATTAAAGAATTACGTTTAATACATAAGAAAATTTTCGTCAAAATGAGTCTTGCCCACAAGCTACAGATGCAATCGAAAAGTTCGGATTCGTATCATCTAGAGGAATCATTACATGATATATTCTGTGGTGAGCTTGGTACACAACTTGAACAGGAAGCAAGCAAATTTTGTGTTAATCGCAAAATTCGCAATGGTACTGAACTTTGGAATCAGCGGAAAAAAGATTCTCGTTTACGTCAATGGGTGGATTCTGAATGTCGTACTCGTGCTATACCGGATAATCCATTGGCTCGTTTAGGTCTTGACGATCTGTTAAGCCGTGTTTTTCAACGTCCACTTCGGTATCCATTATTGTTTGAACGATTGCTGAAATCTACACCAAAAGATTCGCCTGGTCATCGCTATTTGGAACAAGTTATGATCTGTATACGTCGTTCGAATGAACGGATAAATGAAGAGACAAAAAAAGCTGAACTACGTTCTCGACTTGTTGAACTGATACGTAAAACTGATTTTTCCAATTCATCTGTTCCGGTTAATCTTGAACACCATGAATTATTACATGAAGGGCCACTTGTGTGGAGAATCACTAAACAAAAACTAGTCGATGTTTTACTGGTACTTACTGATCAGATCATTCTGGTATTAACACGTGATTCAAATGACCGATATGTACTACGAACACACACCAATCCGACGACTAAACATGAACATCGTCCTCATGTAAAAATGGATGATCTATTGATGCGTGATGTTGCTACTGATCAATCGGCATTCTTTTTAGTATCAAAAAATCAAGATATTATCTATGAATTTGCCGCACAAACAACTAGTGAACGTAAAAAATGGAAGGAAGTAATAACCGATGCTATTAATAAATATCGCGATAATCGTTCGATACCTCATCAATTACAATCACAACGATCATTTACATCATCACGATCGATGACAATGATGGATCTGAAATCGACGACAAATGATTTGATAGCTAGCAATCATCCCCATAATAATAATAATCCTCATCATCATCATCAACCACCTCCATTACCACCACCGATTCAGAATCGACCATTACCTAAACCTCCAATCGATAGTCAGCAGTCCTCATCATCATCGCCGCCACCAATTCCTCCGCCATCAGCACTATCATTCGCTAATAGGCCATTACCACAACCACCTAGTGATTCTACGCAGCCACCACCTTTACCTTCGACACCATATCCAACAAGAGTGGATGGAAATGTACAAGTGGTCACTGCCAATGAACGACATCCATCAAATGTAGATTTTATACCATTTTCTCAGGTTAAAATCACTTCCGAACAAAATCGATCCGGAAAATTGAATCGAAATAAAACGGATGATCTTCAAGAGATCAGTGATAATTTACAAAATATGATTCAAGAACGTCGTCGTTCTGGTATCCGCAATTACGAAGGTAAGTTGAATATAGTTATTATTTGAACTGTGTGTCATTGTAAATTTCTTTTAGATTTAGCTCGAGAAATTCATGAAATGTCATTGGTTTATGATGTTGCTAAACATGATGATTCGAAAGAGATTTTAATTCGTCTCATAACCGATATGTTTCGAAAAGGTTTGTTATAAATTATTTTTGTTAATACGGATTTGATATTTTTTTCATTGAAATATACAGCAACTGAATGGAGCTATCATCTTATTCAAGATAATGATCCGGCTAAACAAGAACTTTCACAACGTGTCCGTAATTCTGTCGAATCTTTTGTCAAATCACATATCGATTCGAATTTTATTTTACCATTACCAAGCGATGATATTGATTCAAATGTTGAATGTACGGAAACCTTATTTGATAATTGCGGTCAACCTTCAACATCGACAAATGATGACAATAATGTTGTCTCTAGCACACCATCATCATCTATTGTAGAATCAGTAATCACACCGATGATGGCTAATGTACGGCTTTCAGCGTCGGCACCAACAGCCCCTAGACCCCAGCAAATTCAAAATCGAATTCGACGATCACTCAGTGATAATTATGAAAAGTCCGATAAAACACAGGTAACTTTTATGATTGTATTTTTCATTGCATAATTCTTTTTTTGAATTTGAATGACAGAAAACTGGACTTGAACTAACCATTCATGATGATGATCAAGATTCGAATTTGACTGTCGATGAAAGTAATGATAATAATTATGATATTGTTACTGAAGAAAATTTTCTTTACAATTCAACAACTCAACAACCGGATTCAAACAACTTCCTTGAAGAAGTCATAAACGATTCACCAGGTTTCCATTCATTCGATAATACACAAGCTGATGAATTGAAGAGCCGAAATAATTCCTCTGCAAATGAATCAACACTAATATTATCACCAATTCCATTAGCATCATCATCATCCAATCCATTCATTTCATCCAAAATAGAAGATTCGAATATTGATAATATGACTCCAGCAACAAATATAGAAATTAAATCATTAGGAGTTACGGAAGAATTTGTTGTCGTTCTTGATGATGGTGACATAATTGTTGGCAACGAAGAAAGTGATCATCAATTGCAGGATATTGAGCAACAACAAACAGCAAATAGTGATGACAACGAAGTGATATCGAATGATAATATTGCCGATAATTCATCAATATCTAATATCGATGAACAAACTTATCAAACAAACAATAACACTAACAAAACAACAACAAGTCAAATGTATCTAATCTGATGATCAATAATTGATAATAATTTTGATCTTATTAACTATCTTTGAATTCAAAGTATTGTTATTACTTTTGATCCTTATCCTCTTTCTATCTATTAGATTTATTATTCTTGTTTCTGTTTCTTCTTTTCATATCAACAAATTCATTGTAATGAATAGAAAACAAATCAATATCAATATCATCATCATCTGATTAATCCATTAATTATTTAATGTAATAGAAATTATTTTTATCGGGCGATAGGGTTACACATTTATTTGTTTGAATATTCCTTTTACAACCATTGTTATTATATTGTCTCTGATTGAAAAAAATTATCTAAATGCTTACATCATATATAACCTTTATTTTTATAAAATTTATCCTTCAAGTATTTTTCGAAATAAAGTGTTCAACATTTATATAATTATTGGTTGTGAAATTCAATGGAATTATTAAAAAAGAAAAATATAATCCATTATAATTAGTTTAATAGAATCAAACTTGAATTCTTTTGATAATCAATTCATTATGACATTGTAAACCGGGTATAATTACGTTTGATGGTCGAAGATTTTCATGATAATTCTTTATTTTCAATGCACGATGACGTCGATTTTCAAAACGATTTGTTTTCATTAATAAAATAAAAATTGCAATCACACGATATAATAACATGTTGAATATTAACATTATAATTGTCATTATAAAGTATGTTACATGATGTTCATGGTCATTTTCTTCCATTTTTAGTTTTAGCAAAATTTTTTGGACTTCTTTTTTGCGACAACGATCGAATCCATATTGTAATAATAAAATGCCTTCCATACCAAATCGTGTTGGAGCAAAATTGGATAAAAATTCAAAAATATAATGTAAACGGCGAATAGGTGTTGCTATATTACTAAGTAATAACGATAAAACTTCAACGGCTGGCATCGATATGGCTAATGCAATAAAATCACCCATTGTAAGTATAGCGATTAGATGACCAAGTGCTTGTGCAACTAAACTGCTAATTATAAAGTATAATAACATCCACCAGTACATTCCTGGTCTAATTGGTTCATAAATATCTGTTATATAAGTAAATATTAAGATTGCAGGTAATAGCGGTATGATTTCAGTAAAAATTTTCATTGTATAAAATACACCTGTACTGTACCATCCTAAAAAATGTTAAAAAAAAGAATTATAAAGACAATTATATAAATCAATCAATCTCACCATTTCGATGTTCATTGCGAAAAAAGACCATTTCTTTTGAAAACATAATCGCTGCTTGTAATAAGAACAAGAAAAAAAACATTCCATTCGTAAAAGCTAGATAGATAAATGATGCTTTTAGATCAAAATCTTCATCCTCTTTTTCTTGTGTTTGATTACATGTATTATTAAAATCATCCAGAAGATCGACACAACCATCATAATAAATCATGTTGTGATTGAACATTAGATTTAAAGACGATCCAAAACCTATGTAAAGGCAATACATAATACATAACATCTTCCATAAATATCCACGAAAATAGAATGCATAACGAAGGATCAATACCCAGACAGAATTCAATGAAAAACGATTTCGATTTGTTGGAATTCCATCCATTACATGAATAGTTTCGCCCGATAGAATAGAATCGTCAGTCAGAATATTTTTATTGGTCAGTGAAAACAATTCTTGAATTGAAGAATCCTCAAAATTAAGACAAGAATATTTTATCAATTCTTCAGCAGGAAAGATATCATCGCGGTGCATTCGATCTGAAACTTTCGATAAATGTTGACGTATATCGGATGGTGGGCCCGAAAAAATACAGACACCGCCTTTGGCCAGAACATACACCTGATCAAACATGAAAAGCACATCGGCATTAGGCTGATGGATCGAAGTGATGATGCAAATGTTGTGATGATGAGCAACTTGTCGCAAACATGACACGACTATTTGAGCTGAACTCGAATCCAGTCCACTAGTCGGTTCGTCGATACAAATCAAGTTGGGCATCCGTACGGATGTGAGTTCCAAACCCAAAGCTAAACGCTTACGTTGACCACCTGAACAATTTTGCACGTAAGTATCTTTCGTATCGATCAGATCTAATTCCTGAAGAATTTTCATGGCGATCGCTTCGTGATTCAAATTCTCATTTTCCATAGCATTTTTTAGCATTGAAGCATAGATCAGGCTTTGTTTAGCTGTTAAACCGGGCAACAAATGACCTGAAACTTCTTGAGTGAGGTAACAAACTCGTATAGGAGTGAATTTACTTAAATGGAATTCGGTAGTATCGCTGAGTCGAGTTTTAGATTGACCATTGAGAACATTCAAAAGTGAAGTTTTTCCTGCACCAGATGGTCCCATCAATGCATTCAGAGTACCAAAACGGAACTGACCATTCAAATTTCTAAGAATTATTTTTGAATTCGGTCCTTCTTTTTCCACATTTCGAATTTCATAGATTGATTTAGTGCCGAATAGTGTTAATGAACGAAAAGCAACAATAACTTTATGACGTGAAAAATCTTCAAATCCAAGTTCATCTTCTTTTTTGATTCTAACAGTGCTTGACAAATCGATCTTTTCTTTTTTTTGATTGGAAAGATTTCCATAATCAATACTTTTGATAGCATCAGATTTTGATGCTCTCACAAATCGTTTTGACCGATTGATTCCACTAAAATGGAAGATCATCAAGATCAACACCAAAAAACGAACGATGACAGTGTTGATGATCAGCATATAAGAATCGCTATAAACTGTATCTACGTTAACACCAAAATCTTCCAACACAAATGAAATTGTCGTTTCGTCCACACATCGATCAAGTCCGTACATTGTATACATTAATCCATTGGGAACAGTCTTGAACGATAGAACTTCCGAAACTCGTAGCATAATTGACGGTAATGTTTTCATCTTGTATGGATTGAACATGTAACCGGTGAAGAATTGTTGACACAATACAATAATGTATGAAGATACAACCGATATTTCGACTTTACCCAAAAATATCAAACAAACAATATAACCGATGCTTTGTTGAAAAAAATTATTTAACCAAATAAAATATAAAAAATGTCGAAATCTGTTCCAATTCAATTGATAATTGTCAGTATACATATGATCAACAGTAAAATATGCAGATAAACCAATGAAACCGGTAATTAAAGTTAATTGAATAAAACGTATGATCATGAAAGACCAATAGAATGTGCCTAAGCTGTACCATTCTATAATTAAATGATCATTATTATATCATCATTATCATTAGTTTTTAAATTGGATAAACTTACGATTACGATGTTCATTTCGGAATACTTTTAATATTGGGTCAAAAAATAGGCTACTTATAGAAACTATGCTAATACTGATAAGTATAATAAAAAACCACTGATTCATTTTATAATCATCAGTCAATGCTTCATCATGTAATTTTTCACGACAGGTGATATTTTGAAAGCTATCATCAGTTTCAAAGGAATAACAAGTGTTTGCATGAGTCATTGATGAATCGAAAAACGTATTGATCAAAATGATAGCGAAGAAAAAGTATGGAAATTGCATGAAAAAACTTTTATATTCTGCCATGAATGTTATTCTAAATATCCGATGAAACTGTAAGATTAAATCAGATATGGAAAATTTTTTCCGTCCTTGCTTTATACCATTCTGTAAGAATTCCAAATTATCGACCAAAGAATCCAACTGATCATGTTGTTCAAGTAAAGTTGAATCTGCCAATGTCCGAACATTTTCACTGCCAAGAGCTAATACAAGAAACCAGAAGTCTTGATTAATGGATTAGATTTTCCCAGAGAGTACAAACCTTCACAAGCAATTTCTAAATATTCTTCGATAGGTGGTATTTCTTTGTCAAATTCATCGTTGACTTTTTTCTTCAAATTGTCACGCAAATTGTCTGGAGGGCCTGAATAGATGCAAACACCACCTTTGGCCAAAATGAAAACTTTGTCAAATAAGCTCATGATATCTGAATTTGGCGTATGAATCGATACCAGGATAGTCAATCGGCTATTATCAACCAATTTTTTTAGGCATTCCATTACCAATACAGCGGCATTACTATCAAGCCCGGTTGTTGGTTCATCAACGAACAAAAACATTGGCTTCTCTAATGACATCAGTTCCTGAGCAATTGCTATTCGTCGTTGTTCGCCACCAGAACATTTTTCAAAATGATTATCCAGTATAGTTTTATCCAGTAAAAGTTCACTTAATACCAACCGTATATGTTGATCCATTTGATTCCATTTACTCATTGGATTCTTGAAACGGAATGCATAATGCAGGATTTCTCGAACAGTCATTCGAGCAATGATGGTTTCGTGGACGTGTTGCTCAACAAATCGAATAACCGGTGTTTGATTAGATTCCGCTTGATTCAGATAAATTTCTGAGTCCGATGTGATTCCATTACGCAATGTACCATTCAAACAGTTGAGTAATGTGGTCTTCCCAGCACCACTTGGTCCAAGAAATGCATTCATACTGCCATAACTGACATGGCCATTCAAACGCTTCAATATGGATTTCTTCCCTTTGCCAAACCAACCACTTACTTCGTATGATAAATTTCGCCATGCCAATGATATGTTCTCTACCGGTAGTTGGCGATCCAATTGTTCATTAAGATGATGATTGTCATTAATATCATTCATAATTTTTTCACATCTGTAGTTCACTGTCAATAAACTTGTGATTATTTGCTATTCAATTTTTTTTTGAATATTTTATGCAGATAATTTTTATGTAATAAAAACAGAGTTAAACTGATGCGTTTCCTTTTCTAACACTGAAAAATTTAAAAAATGAACGATGATCATAATAACAATTGTTGAAATAATTTTCTTAACATAATATTAAGCCATCAATTTATAGCAGATTCAAAAATATAATGAATCATAAAAATCATGCGTCAATTTTTTCGAATTGATTCGCTTGATTTTTTCTGTTTTATACCCATTTCGCTTAGTAACAACCCATCATACACCACATTATATATGCTCAAAAAAGTTACTTGTTTTCCATTGTTTCCTGTGTATTAGATTCATATTCATGTATTCATTTTTGTTCAAGGGTAGATTGATTGAAGATTTAGACGATATATCATTCAGACAAGCTTTTTTCACGGTCAAATTCTAAAACTAATACAGAAAAAAAAGATAATTAAAGCGCCTCATTTATCATTTTGCTATCGAATTATGAATAAATATGGTAATATTTTAAATTTATCTGATTGATGATTGTAATGATCAAAACATTTTATTTGAAAAAAAAATCATTTTTATTTTAGCAAATTTCATTGCTCAATATTAGTGGAAGACAGCATCCTTTATGAAATTTTGAATGTTGTTGATAACATTGCAATATTATTGACATAATTTATAGGGTTTTTGTTCGATGTACATTGAAACATTTTTCATTATTATTATGACAGTATCTTTGCATCTTAATTTATTTCAATTCATACTATTACTGGTATTGCATATTTTTTTGAAATTCAGAATTAAATTTGTATTTGTTTGATAATCAATTCATTATGACATTGTAAACCAGGTATGAATACATTCAATTTTTTAAAACTTCGATGATGGTTAGCAATTTTTTGTGCACGTTTTCGACGATTTTCATAACGATTTGTTTTGGTTAATAATATTAATAAGGCAACAATTCGGTAAAAAATGATGATAAATATTAACATAATAACTGTATTCATTAAAAATGATGGATGATGTTTATGTTCGTCATTTTCCATTCGTAAACGATATAAAAGTTTTTGAACCTGTTTACGTCTACAACGATTGAATCCATATTGTAATAATGATATTGCTTCAATTCCAAAACGTGTTGGTGAAAAATTTGATAAAAATTGAAAAGCATAATGTAATCGTTTTATTGGTGTTGTCATATTGCTGACCAATAATGATATTGTCTGTATAGCTGGTATGGATACGACTAATGCAACAAAATCTCCAAGTGTGATTATGGCAATAAGGTGACCAAGTGCTTGTGATGCTAATGATCCAAGAACCAGGCAGAATATGATTGAATAATAAACTCCTGGAATAATCGGTTCATAAATATTGATAATATAACCATAGATAAATATAACAGGAATTAATGGTATTATTTCAATGAATATTTTCACGAAATAAAATGAACCAGTACTGTACCATCCTGTAACATAAAATAATAATTAAAAAAAAAAATAATTAAAAATGAACTAAAATATTTTTTCATTTTTTTTAAACAAACCATTTCGATGTTCATTGTAAAAAAATATAATTTCTTTTGAAAACATTGTGGCAGCATTAAGCAGAACGAGAAATATAAACAAACCATATGACCAACAAATATAAGTGAATGACGCTTTTAGATCAAAATCTTCATCATCTTTATCTTGTGTTTGATTACAGGTACTATTGAATTCATCCTCTAAACTTACGCAACCATCACGATAGATCATATTATGATCAAATATTACACTGAGTGAAAAACCAAAAAAAATATATAGGGCATACATCATACACATATTTTGCCATAGATAGCCACGAATATAATGTATATAACGAAGTATTAATACACCAACAGATTTCAGTGTAAAACGATTACGATTGGTCGGTATACCATCCAATACAGGCGTAGTTTCTTCCGATAAAAAGATGCCTTGTGATTGAATGTATTCATTTGATAATCTTGATAAATTTTGTACATTATCATTTTTATAGCCGGAACAAGAATACTTGATCAATTCTTCAACTGGAAAAATGTCATCGCGATCCATTTGGTCAGATACTTTTGATAAATGTTGACGTATATCGGATGGCGAACCCGAATAGACACAGACACCACCTTTGGCCAGTATATACAACTGATCAAACATGACCAATACTTCGGCATTAGGCTGATGGATTGAAGTGATGATGCAAATGTTGTGGTGATGAGCCACTTTTCGTAAGCATGACATGACCACTTGAGCTGAATTCGAATCTAATCCACTGGTCGGTTCGTCGATACAAATCAAGTTAGGCATCCGTACTGATGTGAGTTCCAAACCCAAAGCCAAACGCTTGCGTTGACCACCTGAACAATTTTGCACGTACGTATCTTTCGTATCGATCAGATCTAGTTCGTTGAGAATTTTCATGGCGATCGCTTCGTGATTCAAATTCTCATTTTCCATAGCATTTTTTAACATTGAAGCATAGATCAGGCTTTGTTTAGCTGTTAAACCGGGCAACAAATGACCTGAAACTTCTTGAGTGAGGTAACAAATACGTAAAGGAGTAAATTTGCTGAGGTGAAATTCGGTAGTGTCGCTTAGACGAGTTTTGGATCGACCATTGAGAACATTCAAAAGCGAAGTTTTTCCTGCACCAGATGGCCCCATCAATGCATTCAGAGTACCAAAACGAAACTGACCATTCAAATTTCTAAGAATTATTTTTGAATTAGACCCTTCATTTTCAATCGATCGTGTCTCATAAATTGATTTAGTGCCGAATAGTGTCAGTGAACGCCAAGCCACAATAATTTTGTGTCGAGAAAAATCTTCAAATTCGAGTTCATCTTCTTTTTTGATTCGAACAGTGTGGTCTAGATTTTCCGTATTCCCTTCAAGGCCAGACAATTCTCCATAATCAATTGTTTTAATTGATTCAAATTTCGTTGATCTCTTGAAATTTTTTGATTTCATAATTCCACTGAAATAAAAAACCATGATGATGAATGATAACAATCGTACTAAAGTAATGTTTATCATTAGAATATATGAATCCTGAAATACTGTTTTAACGTTGACACCAAAATTTTCAAGTGCAAAAGATATTTTCGTTTCCTCTTCACATCGATCCAATGCATATATTGTATACATCAACCCATTTGGACTTGTTTTAAATGATAATAATTCCGATAAACGTAGAAATGATGATGGCATACTTTTCATTTTATATGGATTGAACATATATCCGGTAAAAAATTGTTCAGAAATTACGAATAAATATGATGTTATAACAGCCACTTCAATTTTGTTTAAAAATATCAAACAAATTAAATAACCGAAACTTTGATGGAAACAATTATTCAGCCAGATAAAATAGAAAAAATTTGCAAAACGATTCCAATTCATTTGATAATGATCAATATAAAGATGATCAATAGCAAAATATGCGACCAAACTAATAAAACTGGCTATTATTGTCAATTCAATGAATCGAACAATTGTTAATGACAAGTAAAATGTTCCAAGACTATACCATTCTGTTGAATTAAAACGAACGAAATAATTTTTATTTTCTACGGAATTCAAGTATCTTATAATTAATTACTTACGATTACGATGTTCATTGCGAAATACTTTCAATATTGGATTTAAAAATAATGTGCTCATGCACATTATGCTTAATGATACCAATATTAAATATATCCATTGATTCATACGATATTCATCAGTCAATGATTCTGCATACAATCTTTCACGACATGTAATATTGAATTCATTATCATCATGATCAATTGAATAACAAACATCGGCTTGTGTTATTTTTTCATCAAAAAAACATGCAATGATGCTGATCAGAAGGAAAAAGAATGGAAATTGCATCAGAAAATTTCTATATTCAGCAACAAATGATATCATGAACATTCGATATAATTGCAAAGATAGATCGATAAATCGAAATTGCTTTCGTCGTTGTCGAATTCCATTCGGTTGAAATTTTAAATCATCAACGCATGAATTTAATTTTTCATTTTCTTCAAGTAGAGTTGAATCGGCTAATTGACGAACAAGATGGTTTTGGATGCCTAAAAATATCAACAACAAAAAATTTAACAACAAAAATTTTTGTATGGAAATCATTTGAAGTAAAAACCTTTGCAAGCAATTTCTAAATATTCCTCAATTGGAGGTTTTTCGGTATCGAATTCAATATTAATCTTTTGTTTAAGACTATTACGTAAATTTTCTGGAGGGCCTGAATAGATACAGACACCGCCTTTGGCAAGAACAAACACTTTGTTGAATAAATTCATGATATCTGAGCTAGGCGTATGTATCGATACCAGAATGGTCAAACGGTTATTATCAGCCAATTTTCTTAAACATTCCATTACCAACACAGCGGCATTACTATCGAGTCCGGTTGTTGGTTCATCAACAAACAAAAACGTTGGCTTCTCCAACGACATCATTTCCTGAGCGATAGCTATTCGTCGTTGTTCACCACCGGAACATTTTTCAAAATGATTATCCAGTATAGTTTCATCGAGTAAAAGTTCACTTAATACCGACCGTATGTGTTGATCCATTTGGTCCCAATGTACAGAATCATTTTTGAAACGAAATGCATAATGCAAAATATTGCCAACACTCATTTTACCGATAATATTTTCATGTATATGTTGCTCAACGTATCTTATATTAGGCACATTATCATGTTCATTTTGATTTAGATAAATTTCGGATTCTATTGTCATACCATTCGAATTCGTACCATTCAAGCAGCTAAGCATAGTCGTTTTACCAGCACCACTTGGACCAAGAAATGCATTCATACTATTATAATTAACATAACCGTTCAAACGTTTTAAAATAGTTTTTCGTTCACCACTACCAAATGGGCCATTAACTTCATAACAAAGATTACGCCATGCTAAGGAAATATTTTTTTTCGACAATTGAAAATCAATATCTGTGTCGATATTTTCTCGCAATTCAAATTGAATTGTTTGTACACGATTAGAATGATTGTCATTTCTTTTGAGAATATACATCATTAATTTGGCAAAATATGTTTTTTTTCTTCCAATCTTACCATTAAATACCTTTTCCTATATTGAGAAAATTTTTATCAGTTCGAACTTGAATGATGAATTATATCTGGTTATTTTTTTACCTTTTCATATAATTGCGACTTAATAGATTTGTTTATCATTCAAATCTATTTATCTATTTCATTCATTTCGTAAATTTTCATATAGGAGATATGATCAATAAAAATTGTATTTGGAAAATTATTGAACAATATTTTTATTGTGATTAAAAATACAGTTTTTTCGAACAAAAATTAAAACAAAAAATAATAATAATAAATGTGTTGATAATGATCTTTCATTAATAATTAATTCTTTGATAGTGACGATGTGTGTCATTTTGAGTTATTAGTTTGTTTTAATGATGGCAACAAATTTAATGAATTCATCGAATAAAGAAGAGAAATTTCTTCATACTTCAATCCTTTTGATTATTAATTCAGTATCACATTGTAGACCGGGTATAATAACGTTTGATGGTTTAAGATTTTTATGAAAATCAGAAATTCTTTGTGCGCGTTTACGGCGATTATTGAAATGATTAAATCTAATGATGAGCAACAATAAGGAAACTAAACGATAAAATATTAAATTAAATATTAACATGATAAGTGTTTGTAGAAGAAATGAAGCATGATGTTCATGTTCATCATTTTCCATTTTCAATTTGAAAAGAATTTTCTGCACTTCTTTCAGGCCACACCGATCGAATCCATATTGTAATAGAAACATTGCTTCAATACCGAATCGTGTTGGTGCAAAATTCGATATAAATTGTAGAATATAATGTAAACGTTTGACTGGTGTTCCTAAATTGCTAACCATTAAGAAAATAGCTTCGATGCCCGGAATCGAAATAACTAATGCAACAAATTCACCCATTGTTACAATTGATAATAGATGACCAACTGATTGAACGGCTGTTGCGCCAAGAATTACATAGAAAGCAATGGAAAAATATATCCCAGGACGTACAGGTTCATAGATATCAATCAAAAGTGTATAGATGAGAAAGATTGGAATTTGTGGCAATAATTCGACCCATATTTTCATGAAATAAAATGCACCAGTACTATACCAACCTATTTTCAAAACAATAACATTATTTTCGAAAATGAAAAGAAATTTTCATTTTAAAAGCTTTCTTACCATTTCGATGTTCATTACGAAAAAATACCATCTCTTTCGAAAACATTATGGCAGATTGAACCAATACAAGAAACAAAAACATTCCATAACCAAAACAAACATATATGAATGAAGCATCGAGATGAAAATCTTCATCTTCTTTATCCTGTGTTTGATTACAAGTACTATTAAATTCATCTTGAAGGTCGACACAACCATCAGTGAATATCATGTTATGATCAAATAGAATGTTTAATGTCAATCCAAAACACAGATAAAGACCATACATTAGACAAAGAATCGGCCATAAGTAACCAAGAACATAGAAGGTATATCGCATCATTAAAACTCGAACAGATTTCATGGAGAAACGATTTCTATTTGTCGGTATGCCATCCATAACAGGAGTTGTTTCTTCCGACACGATCAAGTCTTGTGATGTAATTTGCAAATCCGAAGAGGCTACCAAATCCTGAACGGAAGAATCTTCATAATTGAGACAAGAATACTTAATCAATTCTTCAACTGGAAAGATGTCATCGCGATCCACTCGATCAGACACTTTTGATAGATGCTGACGAATATCGGATGGTGGACCCGAATAGACACAGACACCACCTTTGGCCAATACATACACCTGATCAAACATAGTCAATACTTCTACATTAGGTTGGTGAATCGAAGTGATGATGCAAATGTTGTTATGATGAGCCACTTGTCGTAAACATGACACGACGGTTTGAGATGAGCTCGAATCCAATCCACTGGTCGGTTCGTCGATACAAATCAAGTTTGGCATTCGTACGGATGTGAGTTCCAAACCCAAAGCCAAACGCTTACGTTGACCACCTGAACAACTTTGCACGTACGTATCTTTAGTATCGATCAGATCTAGTTCGTTGAGAATTTTCATGGCGATCGCTTCGTGATTCAAATTCTCATTTTCCATAGCATTTTTCAACATTGAAGCATAGATCAGACTTTGTTTAGCAGTTAAACCGGGTAGCAAATGACCTGAAACTTCTTGAGTGAGGTAACAAACTCGTAT